AGACCGGAAAGATGACACTACTGACTAGAAATGAGCTTCTCAAAAGTTGTCCTGTTCTTACAGAAAGCAGGGATTGTTATATTGCCTGCACAGAGTTGGTTGATCTACGTTAGACCTAAGATTATTCCTGGAAATCACCAAGATATGTGGTAACATAGACTTGCGGGTCCAGTCCCAGAGGTTCTGAGCCACTTGTTCTTGAGAAGAGAAGGGGGTCTATGGATTTGCTTTTATTATTCTTTGTGCAGGTCCTAGGTCTTGAATTCAGGGCCTAGGTGCTGTCCTTAAGCTTTTGTGTTCAAGGCTAGTGAGCTACTACTTTAGTCATAAATCTACTTATGGGTGTTTTTTTTTTTTTTGGTGGTTCATTGGAGATAAGAGTCTTACAGACTTTCCTGCCTGGACTGACTTTGAATCATGATCCTCAGATCTCCGCTTCCAGAGTAGCTAAGATTACAGGTGTGAGCCACCAGTGCCTGGCTAGAATTTGCTTTTTTCACGTACTCCCGTTACTGCCGGTGGTTCAGAGACTAGACTGAATACTGACAACCACTTTTAGACATGGATCTTCAAATGTTTTCTGTAAAGATTTATAGTAGGTGTATCAAGCTTCCCAACCCATGCAGTCTGCCCCATCTATGTACTGCTGCCATTTTAGGGCTAAAACAGCTTCTCAATAGCAATTGATACTCATCTCAAACTTATTCAAAAAGAAAAAACTGCTCTGGTGCTGGCGGCTCATGCCTGTCATCCTAGCTACTTCCAGTGTGTATATGGTACAGTCCATGATGGTGAGGAGCATTCAGACCAGCTTCAAGGGTATATGACTTATGTGTTCATGTAGCGCCCCCTTCAGGAGGGCAGCCCAATGTTCTGATACTGAGCCAAGTCATGTGACCAAAGTGCCTGATGTTCAGCAATATCTTGCACACTGAAGATAGAAGTGACTTCTAGATTGACACAGAGGATACAGTGGGGGAGCAACCCATTTATAAACAATTGGATATCTATCCCGCATATAATATGGGGCTTTATATAACTGCCCAACCAAACTAAGTAAGCTTCTATATCCAGCAGTATTATTTCCTAACAGTTTTTCTCAGATTGTACACCAGAAGCTTCTAGTCATTTTGGCTGGCAGGGTCTATAAGAATTTCATCTGTGTGCATGGGACAAAGACGACTGATATAATTAGTCATTTCAGTTCTGCAGGAACCAGAGTTCTATCAGCCACCAATTAAACCATCTGCTGAAAACTTAGAGTGTGATTCATTGGAGTGATTCCCCTAGTTTCTTAGAACCTTGGTTTCTCTGCTATTCTAAAATGAGATCCACAGCGTGGTGTACATAAATTGTAGGGCAATTTCAGCCTTCATCTACTGTGCCCATTGGGGATTGGACAGTATTGTCTTCTAACCACACTTGTCTTTTGGAGCCTGGGAGCAGTTGTCATAGTTCATTTGACAGAAGCAGAATACTCTAAACCTTGGATGGAAGATCTTCTGGAGGTGGCAACTGTGAATTTAGAAGGATGAGTTCTATTGTTAAAGGATGAATGCATTGTACCGTAATACCTAATCTTAATACCAAATGATGAAAAAGGACATGAGTTTATTAAATGTATATAATGAAAAATATACATTAAATCAGTGAACCTTTTTCAGGTTATAAATCACTGCCACCATGTCACTTGTTTATTCCACATGCTATGTCTTTCTGTACAGAACCTTTCCTGTCTCTTCTATAGTATGAATAATATTCCCTCTGTCCTTCCCTCTGGCCCTCTTCTCCACCCTCCTTTGCTGGCCCAACAGTCTCAATCTTGGCTATCATTATGCTACAGCATAATGAGTATGCTACTTGTGTGCCTGTAGCATTAGACTGATTTTAAAAGTGAAGATGTGGAGCCCAGTGCCAGTGGCTCACGCCGGTAATCCTAGCTATCAGGAGGCTGAGATCTGAGGATCATGGTTCTAAGTCAGCTAGGAGAGGAAAGTCTGTGTGACTGTTATCTCTAATAACCTACTCAGAAAAAGCTGGAAGTGGTGCTGTGGCCCAAGTGGTCTCGAGCCTTGGGCACAAAGAAACTCAGGGACAGTGACCAGGCCCAGAGTTCAAGCTCCATGACTGGAAAATAAATGAAGATGTCTTATTTCAGATATGTTTCCCAAGCTGGGTGCTGGTGGCTCATACCTGTAATCCTAGCTGCTGAAGAGGCTGAGATCTGAGAATCGCAGTTGAAAGCCAGCCCAGGCATGAAAGTCTGTGAGACTCTTATCTCCAATAAACCACTCAGGAAACCGGAAGTGGCACTGTGGCTCAAGTGATAGAGAACTAGCCTTGAGCTAAAGAGCTGAGGGACAGCACCCAGGCCCAGAGTTCAAGCCCCACGAGCGACCAAAAAAAAAAAAAAAGATATGTATCCCAGATGCTAAGCACAATGGTTGACCCCCACCCAGGAAGGATAACGGGTAAAACCTAGCTAGCACTCAGTTCACATGATAGAAAATGAACGTGTTTCAGTTCCTATGACAGAAACCATGACCAGTGAAAATATGTCCTCCAAAGCAGTATTGCATGATGACAAAATGTTTTGTATCTGTGCTTTCCATTATGGTAGCCTCTAGCACAAGTGATTATTGTACATGGTACATTCCACTAGTGTTGCTGAGGCTCTGAATTGTTCCTTTTAAAACAAAATTTTAATAGCCACCTGTGCTAGTGGCTACTTAATTGGACAATGCAGTCCCAGGGCCACACAGCTTTGTCCAATAAAGACTACCTGCATTAAGATACACCAGGACAGTGGGCATCTTGCTCTTAATATCATAGAATGAGAATAGGGGCCAGTTGTAGATGGTGTAACACACAGATCTGTTTTCTCTTCATATAGTATGACACCGCCAAGGCTGAGGTTGTTAGGGTTCTTCTTCTTTTTTTGTTGTTGGTCGTGGGGCTTGAACTGTGGGCCCAAGCACTGTCCCTGAGCTCTACAGCTCAAGGCCAGTGTTCTACCACTTGAGCACCACTTCTGGTTTTCTGGTGGTTAATTGGAAATAAGAGTCTCATAGGATTTCCTGCCTGGGCTGGCTTTAAACCATGATCCTCAGATCTCAGCCTCCTGAGTAGCTGGTATTACAGGTGTGAGCCACCAGCGCCCGGCTTAGGTTTCTCTTAACTTGGAACTTAGCTGCACTCCTGTCACTCGGAAAGTCATAGGACAAAGTAAGTTTGAACTCCCAACATCCATGTTCACAAATCTCAAGTATCCATAGCTTTTTATTTTCTTGTGTCAGTGTTGGGGCTCAAACTCAGGGCCTCGTGCTCTCACTTGGCTTTTTCACTAAGCTCGCACTCTATTACTTGAACCACAGCTCTACTTTGGGCTTTTTGTTGGTTAATCAGAGATAAGAGTCTTGGTGGGCTTTTCTTCCTGGGCTGGCCTTGAACCATGATCCTCAGATCTTAGCTTCTTGAGTAGCTAGGATGACAGGCGTGAACCACCAGTGCCCAGCATTCTATAGCCTTTGACTTGCTCATGAACTTGGACCACATCGTGTGCTGGTTTCTATTTTATAAAGCTTCATAAGTCCATTTCAGGAAGTTTGGTCTTCCTGAAAATAGCTGGTTATCTTTTGAAGTAGACAGAAGCACAAGCTTCTTCTGAAAATTGGCATTTTGTATTTTTCAACTAACAAAAGAGCATTCTAGTAAGTCATTCTCCACGGTAGGTTTAAACAAATGCTAGTATTGCATGGACACTTCTCAATGTAGAAAAGTTCATCGCTGGTGTTTCATGCTGGGTTTTCACTCCCTAAATACTAGTATGACCATTTCAGGGAAATAAATTTAACTGCTTCTTGTGCCTGCACCAAAGTAATGAATTGCTCTTGATCGCTGTTAAACATCTTAATGCAGTAAAAGTTCAGTTTGCTCAACAAGTCATTTACTGGAGGGTCTGGCTAATATAAACAGGGCTGGGAAGCCAGGAGACATTCTGATGTTATCCTGATGCCCAGCACAGTAAGACTAGATGGGAGACAGAAATGTCTCCAGACTGTAAGTGTCACCTGGCTGAGGCTGTCAGAGAGGCCTTTTTGGACATTTCACGTCCAAGCTTATTTTAAAAATGAAGAGTTTGAGAATCATTTTCTCAAGATTAAGTGTGAATATGGTTCTATCTCCTTCATTTCACTTCATGGATGCTCATTTTGTCTTCTTTTCTTTTCTTTTTTTTTTCTTCTTCTGTTCCTTTTTCCCCTTCAAGTGCTTAAATATCACCTACCAGGCCTGGGTTCTGACTCTGAATGTCTGTGTGGGGGCAGGGGGAAGATGGAAGTCGGTTGAGGAGGAGGGAGACTGAATAAATGACTGGTGCTGCCTGGGAGAGTTGGTATTAAAAGTTTGAGGCAATTTCTGATATCAACTTGAATGAAACTTGAGTGGATCCATTTGAGTAGATCTTAGTGACATGGAATTTCACTAGACTGGGGACCCCAAATACTTATGATCTTTCCAAGAGGATCCCCTTCCCCCTCCCCCTCCATCCCTTGATATTTTTCCAAACCTGGCCAAAGTGTCGTTACTGTATGGGATTCTTCCAGTTTCCCTGGAGGTCAAGGGCTTGGGGGAAGCCATTGGCTGCTCAGGCAGTGGTTATACTTGAAAACCTCCCAAGGTTGAGTCTAGAGAAGACTATTCATTTCTTCATGGAACTGCTGCTTCATTGTCATTCTCTTTTGGCTATGTTAGTACAAGGTCAGGAAACTGTAAGAACCCTTCCAGACCCTGAGCATATTGTTATGGTCCCTCTTGGAGCCTCAGTCCCCAGTGGCAGAATCTGAGACTGTGAGGATGACCCCTCTACCCATTTGTTGGGATGTTGATGTATTAGCTATAGAGCTTGAGAGAGGAGATGGAGAAGTAGAAACGTCTGTGCTAATTGTAGGGTTCATGAAGACCTCTCCCATCAAGGCTGGTTTTCTCTCCCTTGGGTCCAGGCTGCTTCGAATGCTGCATCAAGTGTCTGGGAGGAGTCCCCTATGCCTCCCTGGTGGCCACCATCTTGTGCTTCTCTGGAGTCGCCTTGTTCTGCGGCTGTGGGCATGTGGCTCTTGCCGGCACCGTGGCAATTCTCGAGCAACATTTCTCCACCAACACCAGTGACCATGCCCTGCTGAGCGAAGTGTATGTATTTGCTTCCCTTTGACAAAATATTATTTGAGGTGGGACCATCTGTTTTCTGAAAGACTATTGTGTCTTCTGGCAGAAAACTGATGCTTTCAATGAGCACTCACTATAGATAGACAGAAAAAGTCCAGGACAAAAGCCAAATGACAAGATGCACATAATAGCGATCGTCATGGAGGACAGTAACATGTTATGCTGCTGACCATCTCATCAGAGAGAGTCAGCATGGTTCCCAGGTAATAGGTCGCTGCCAGTGTTCCTCCAGGAATTGAACACCCCTGCAACGATAAGAGCTCAACTGAAGACTTAACCCCAACCCTTACATATACAGGAGTAGCATTTGAATGTGAATTCTCAGGCAGAAGAACAAATCGCAGGGGACACCTTGTACTCCCATCCCCATGCAGAAATGGGCAAGTCCTGGGGGATTTAACCCACACCTCCACCTTCTACCTCTGGAATCATTCTCAGAGGCATCTTAACAACTGCCAAGCAGAGGCTCATAATCGCTCCAGCTCAGCCACAATATTTGTTTTTCTGTCAAATACTTTCCCCCCCTCCATTTTCCATCAGCAGTTTTCCCTTTAATTCCCAAGTTTCACAGTGTTTATGTGTTTTGTAATCATAAGAAGTGTCTCCCCCAAAGTGGAAGACATTTTTCCAAAATGAAATTATGTTGGGAGAATTTTTAGGGCATCATTGTTTGGTGGTTTACAATTGATATCCAAAGAAATGAGCAGAGTTGAGAAAGTTGGTAGGAGAGATCAAGCAATACAAAGGACTCACTGTATACCAGCTATGCACAGGGAAAGTATTTTTACCAAGACTGAATCTGGGCAAGGTATATTGAGTTAATGACCTAGTGATCTCAGCCTATGACTTTCAGTCTTCTAAGAAGCTTTAAAACGTGTATGCTTGCTGGACACTGGTGGCTCATGCTATGATCTTAGCTACTCAGGAGGCTGAGATCTGAGGATCATGGTTCAAAGCCAGCCTGGGCAGGAAAGTCCATGAGACTCTTATCTCCAATGAACCACCAGAAAACCGGAAGTGGTGCTGTGGCGCAAGTGTTAAAGCATTAGCCTTGAGCTGAAGAGCTCAGGGACAGTGACCAGGCCCAGAGTTCAGGCCCCATGACCGACAAAAAAAAAAATCTCTTCTTTCTGTAGGATACAACTGATGCAGTATGTCATCTATGGGATTGCATCCTTTTTCTTCTTGTATGGCATTATTCTCTTGGCAGAAGGTTTTTATACCACAAGCGCAGTAAAAGAGCTGCATGGTGAATTTAAAACAACTGCTTGTGGCCGATGCATCAGTGGAATGGTGAGTATAAACCTCAATGTACAACAGAACTCTGTGTGTGTGTGTGTGTGTGTGTGTGTGTGTGTGTGTGTGTGCAGAAAGCGTCTCTTTGGTTAAAACTGTAAGGATGTGCACATTGATCTTACCAATGAAGACTTAGCAATTTGAGACCCTTTAGTATGTTATTGATAATAAATGATAAATGTCTGGTAGTACGACAACAAATGTTTCTCTTATCAACCTAAGCTAATAAGTAAGAGATGTCTTTAAATGTAATGAACCCAGTATAGGAGGAGATAGCTTCTTATTGTCTCAGTATTTCCCTTTGTGTGCATGAGTAGTGGAACAAAAAGACATCCATTTCCTAGCATCCATAGTCCCAGTCCTTTGCCAGCATCCAATGTACTATGCACCTCACTGCACTTTGCTCATCTAAAGTAGGCTCTTTGTCAAGGTGCTCACAGTCTAACACAAGGTAATGAGCAATACCTGTGGACCAATTTGGCCTGCTGCTTGTTTTTGAGAGGTGAGAATGGTTTTTATTTATTTAAACAAGATAAAGCCAAATAAATAACATAACATGACATGCGAAAATTACACAAGTTGACATATTGAATATGAAGAATTTTGCTGGTATCCAGCCATGTGGATTTTATCTGTAACTAGTTTTGGGGCAGTGGCAGACTTGAATAGTTATAGCAAAACCAGCCCAAGTTCCTGTCATCTGGCCCTTTATGGTCACAAAACATCTGCACATATTTACTCTACAGGAGAATACATCTTAAAAATTGAAAGTTGAAAATACTTGGTTAAAAAGTACCCTAGCATAGCCAGGTGTCAGTGGCCTGCAATGCTAGATACCCAGGAGGCTGAGATTCAAAGGATGGTGGTTCACAGACAGACTGGGTAGAAAAATCCATGAGACTCTTATCTCCAATTATCTGTCAAAAAGCTGGAAGTGGAGCTGTGGCCCAAGTGATAGAATTCCAGTCTTTAGCTTAAAAAAAACAGTGCCCAAGCCCTGAGTTCAAACCCCAATACTGGAACCACAAAACATAAAGAAGAATTCTATCATTTGCAAAAAAAGGAAATAGAACTGAAGTCCATCATGTGAAGCAAAATAAGCCAGATTCATATAAATATTACATTGTTTTTCTTATGTGTGGAATCTAGAATTGAAACAAAGAAAAAAACCTCAACCACTTGAAAATCGAAGGGGCCTATTTGGGAAGGGGAAGGGGAAGGAGATGGGAGGAGATCAAACACTTCTTGTATTTTTCCCCTTTATTTTTGCTATTTTACTAACAGAATACATTTTTTGGTTTATCCCAATGCAAAAAAAAGAGATAAAAAGAGTGTCATGTGAGAGGCTCTGTTGCAAATTAGCTCTGTGCCCCTACAGTGTATGGTCAACTTTTGGGGCCTTATGCTCTTGATGTTTAAAAGAGGGACCTGAAAAGACCCTGAGATCTCTTGGGGCACTACCATTGAAGATCCTCCATTTAAAGCATGGACAATTTGATCTTCTCTTGCTCCCCCATGCTGTACTGGCATTTCTCTCTTGGTGCCATAGATTAGTGGGGTCCCCCAGAATACATCCTATATCGCACAGGTTGGTACTAGGCTTAGAAATGTAGTCTCTGCTCTGGGGGATGTACCTACTGATTTCAGTGATTCTTTCTCTTCTTGTTCTGCCTAGTTCGTTTTCCTCACCTATGTGCTTGGAGTGGCCTGGCTGGGTGTGTTTGGTTTCTCAGCAGTGCCCGTGTTTATGTTCTATAACATATGGTCAACTTGCGAAGTCATCAAGTCACCACAGACCAATGGGACCACCGGTGTGGAGCAAATTTGTGTGGATGTTCGACAATATGGTACTTCCTTTTATTTCTTCCTATGAATTGCTTATGCTCTTTTTTTCTGTTGTTTGTGAAGCTTGAACTCAGGGCCTCAATACTGTCCCTGCACTCTTTTTGCTCAAAGTTAGTGCTCTACCACTTTGAGTCACAGCACCACTTCCGGTTTTCTGGTGGTTCATCGAAGATAAGAATCTCACAGACTTTTCTGCTCAGGCCTGCTTTGAACAGTGATCCTCAGATCTCAGCCTCTTGAATAGCTAGGATTACAGGCGTGAGCCACCAGTGCCTGGCTTCTATTGTAAATTTTAAATGTGGAGTAAAGAAGCATTTTACAATATAGAACTTTCTAATATAGTTCAACCCAAAAAGACTTCTAGAGATCTTGTAAAAGAAAAAAGTTTAAATGTATTTTCTTCCACTTCTTTTCAGTCTTATAACACTTTCTATCTAAAATACTGCACTTATTGTACAACTCAATTGCTTTGCACATTCAACTCTTTAAGTCAATTCCTTGTAAAAAGACTGCTTGAACTTTACCTATACTGAAAAACTCAACCCCAAATCCAGATGTAGTGAGATATCAGTGGCTCATGCCTTTAATCTTAGCTACTTAGGAGGCTAAGATCCAGAGGACACAGAAGATGCTGATTTAAAGCCAGACAGACAGAAAAGTCCACAGAACTTGATCTCCAAAATAGCCAGCCAAAAGCCAGGCTGGAGGTATGGCTCAACTTGGTAGAGCACCAGCCAAGGAAGTGAGCCCAGTGAATTAGAGCCTTTAACTTCAAACTCCAGTACCAAAGATACTTCACAGTCATCAAGGTCATGCTGTGTGAAAACTGCCTTCAGATGTTGGGAGCCGACTCAATAGCTTTTAGATCATTATTTTTGCTCCTGGTGTTTCTCATTTGGCTTACTATTATCATGCAGCACATCGAAAACTCTCCATCATATTGATCTCTTCTCCAGACACACAACACTATTTTTTTAGAAAAGACTTAAAAATAGAGCCTTTGTTGGTGTTTAAATGTGTTTATAAAGAAATATTTGAGTGTATATAATTTCCCTGCACTTTAAAAATAACTTTCTTCCATAAAGTTTTGAGCCAGTAATCTTTTAAAATTCTATAGAATTTAAACCAGTATTCTTTTTTTTGGGGTGGGGGAGTGTCTGGTCATGGGGCCTGAACTCTGGGCGTGGGCTCTGTCCCTCAGCTCTTCAGCTCAAGGCTAGCACTCTACCACTTGAGCCACAGCGCCACTTCCAGCTTTTTTTTTCTGCTTATGTGGTGCTGAGGAATCGAACCCAGGGCCTCATGCATGCAAGGCAAGCGCTCTACCACTGAGCCACCTTCCCAGCCCAAACCAGTTATTCTTGAAAATCACTGGTTTCAGAGACAATTTCCCATTCTTCTGAGGGACAAAGTTTTTACTCTTGGCCAATGTCAGGGAAGAAAGGAATAAGAACTTGTTATTTTAAATATTCTGTCCTTACCTCCTAAGAGAAGTGTAAACTGAGTGGTGCCTAATATTTAAACATCATCTATGCTTTAAAGAAGGATAGGAAGCAGCATTCACAGCTCATTTCTGTAATCCAAGTTGAGAGGCTGAGATCTGAGGATCTATTTGAAGCCAGCCAATTCAGAAAAAGCCTGTGAGACTCTTATCTCAAATTATCAGCAAAAAAGCTAGAAGTACAGGAGGTATGGCTCAAGTAGTAAAGCAACAACAGTCTTGAGCAAAAAAAAAAAAATCCAAGTGAGATTTCAAGTTCCTCAGTAATGGTACAAAATTGCACAAGTGGTACAGAGTTATAGTGAAAGACCCTGGCCTCTGGGGTAAGAAGATATTCCTGTTTTTACTATTTACCTTATTGTCTAAATGGCTTATTCTTTATTCCTAAATGACTGCTTTGCAGACAGCAGATACTCCAATTATTAAATGAGGAATGCAGCACTTTTAACTAATAAACAAAAAAAGAACCACCCCCCAATCAACCCTGCACTCACATTCTGTTGGGCTTTCCTTTGCAGGTATCATCCCTTGGAATGCTTTCCCAGGAAAAATATGTGGCTCGGCTCTGGAGAACATCTGTAACACAAATGAGGTAAAGCTGTCATGATTCTAGTCTCCTGACTTAGATGGAGAAAAAGGGTTCTCTTGGCTGGGATTGTCCAAAGGCTTTATGTAAACTCTTCATTGAATTCTATGTGGTCATTGTTGTTCATTTTCCACCTACAAAAATGGTCATATTGCCAGGGGTGGTGGCTCACACCTGTAATCCTAGCTATTCAAGAAGCCGAGGTCTGAGGATCACAGTTCAAAGCCAGCCATGGCAGGAAAGTCAGTGTGACTCTTATGTCCAATTAACTACCAGAAAACTGGAAGTGGTGCTGTGGCTCAAGTGCTGGAGCATTGCCTTGAGCTGCAGAGTTGAACACAGTGCTCAGGCCCCATGACTGACAGGAAAAAAAGAAGTCATATAATCCAGTCAACTAGGTGAGTTTTTCCTTAGAGCAAAAATTTAGGAGTGATCCTGTACCTATCAATCTGAGAGTCAATGCTTTTTGCCTTTCACAAAGTTTCTCAAACATTTCTCACCGAAAACTGGAAAAGATTCCCCTGAATTTGTACATATTCCAAAGTTTTAATAAGAGGTCACAGTCAGGTGCTACATACCTATAATCCTAGCAGTCAGGAGGCAGAGATAAGAGGATCATAACTTGGAGGACAGCCTGGGATACACAGCCAGACCCAATATCAAAAGGCCAAAAGCTGATGATAGCTCATGGGCACGGTGCCTGGCTCGCATGCATAAGGCCATGGATTTGATGCTTGTGCTCCAGAACATCTTGCAGGGTTTTTTTTCTCCATTTCTCAGTCATCCTTAAATTGGCAATATATGCTAACACTTTGATTTAAACTCTCTTGACCTTCTGGTATTCTTCAGTAGTGGGCATACAACCGTTTATCAAACAAAACTATTTTTTAAATTTACTTTATTGTTATGATAGAGGTGATGTTGAGAGGGGTTACAACTGCATGAGTCAGGTAATGAGTACATCCTCTTTCATACAGTGTCTTCTGTTCCCTCATTCTCTCCCAGTCCCTCCCTCCCATCTCCACCAACAAGTTGTGTAGTTCATTTCTATACCAGGAAGTCTTAATTTCCAAATGAAAACATGCATCAGTGTCCAGTGAGCTTCACTGCTGCCCTTTCCCCCTCGACTTCTGTGCCTTTCCCTTCCTCCCAGAGATAGACCCACGAATGAACCACACAGGAAGAAAAGCAAACAGAACCACCACCAACAATGGAAAAGACATCTCTTGTCTCCATATCTTGGGGATCATTTCGACATATGTACATACATATATAATTTTATATAACTATAAAGAGGCACATAGGCATTGCGCCTTTGCAAACAAAATTCCTAAGTATACTGGCAGGCACTATGCCTATTTCAGGAGGTACTGATGTGTGTTTGGAAAGCACCAAGTGACAAAAATGATTGGCCCTTACGCTATGTGGCTTGTCAAAGCAGAATCTCTTAACCTCAGTCACATTCTGTCGTCATCAGGGGAGGTTTCACTTAATGTTGAGATTCGTTGTTCTAGGGCGCAGCTTGGGACAGCGGGAAAAATGTAAGGGTAGCCAGGTGATTCCAATGTGCAATCAGCAGTCTACAGGAACGAAGGTGTGAGTCCAGCCTCGCAGAGAGCAGCTGATGAGGATGAAGCAGCACTTCTGAGTGCATGTAGACAATTCTGTTCCACAGCCAATGCTCACGCTTGTGCCCTGTGTCATTCTTTCCTAGTTCTATATGTCCTACCACCTGTTCATTGTGGCCTGTGCTGGAGCTGGTGCCACCGTTATTGCCCTGGTGAGTAACCATCCCTCCACTACTCTAGTCTAGCTCCTCTCCTCCCCCAAGCCTCCAAATGACAGATTTCCCTTCCAGCCTATATCAGCCTCCTGAAGCAACAGATCTGTGCGCTCAGCGGGGGGTAACCATCACCTGTGTAAACTTACCACACGTCTAGTTTGCAAGAAGCAGTAGTGGCTGTCTTGGCACTTATGAGAAGTGATATAATTTGGCCTCTGCAAAGAAGAGAGGGTATCAACACCTGGAATTGCATTTTTAGCATTTAGTTTCATGACTTCATTCATGGACAGATGTTCACAGGAGGTACTGACAATTTCTTCACCAGAAAGTCTTAATCTCCAAATAGAAACATGCATACTTCTACGTATGCATGTGTACATATATAGTTGATCTCATTATGCATGGTAGTTATGTTCTATAGTCACTTTGAACTCTGAAGTGTATAGATTGAATGAATTTTTCCTAGGAGTAATAGAGGGTAGGGTTTCTTAAAGTTCCTGGTCACATCACTTTCACTAATCTGTCAGTACATAACATTGTTTTATATGTGTTTCAGTAGAAAAACCTTATTCATATATAACATCAATCCATTACTATTGAATTCATAGCCAAAAGCACACTGTCACTGATGCCTGAATGAGGTTTTCCTAACACACATGTTATTTTTGCAAGGTATAGCACAGCTTTCTTGTAAGCTGCCTTAGTAAAACCAACAAAACATGCAAAAGTGGCACTAAACAAATACCTCTAGAAGGACACTTGTTTACTTGTTTATAGCCTGAGAGCTGATAAAAAGGCAGAACACTGCCTTATGCAATCTCAGCTGGGAGCATGCACACTAATTGCTCTGTATGGGCTCACTAATGGCTGAGAAAGTGCTTCAAGTATCCATTTGGTTGTTACAGATACATTTTTAGCAAGCAGGCAAATTTGAAATCTGGACATAATGAGAATCAACTGTGTAAACACAGATTGTATATGTTTTGTGTGTGTGTGTGTGTGTGAGAGAGAGAGAGATGTGGGTGAGCTTGGTTTGTGATTTGAAGAAAACCCACCAAGACTGGTTAGAGCAAGGGGGAGTTCCCTTGGAAATGAGTCATTTCCAGTTTTCCTCATTATTATTCTTTCCCATGACAGGGGTTCCCAAAAACCCTTGTTTTCTTGGCGGAGCAATAGACAGGGAAGAGAATGAATTGCTGCTGAGCAGGCAGTTTGGGAAAGATGAGGGGAAATAAGGCACTGAGCTTCATCATTCTGCTGCTTGACCCAGCTCTCCCATTGTATCCTTGAAACACATCCAAGCCTTTTTAATAAGCTGACGGCAAAGCCAGGGACTCACATCATAGACGTGTGATCAGAAAGAAGTGTGTGTGTGCCGGATGTAAAAATCATTGGTTGTGCCTGGAAGTGGGGGAAAAGAAAGGCCCCAGACTGTGTATGAGCTGGCACCCATCCCTGCCCCAGCATAGAGTGTCGTGACAGGGGCCTTCACTGCCTGTATCTTACTGTCCTGTTTTGTTCTCTTCCACCAGCTGATCTACATGATGGCTACCACATATAACTATGCGGTTTTGAAGTTTAAGAGTCGGGAAGATTGCTGCACTAAGTTTTAAATTGCATAAGGCCAATAAGGAGCTTTAGCGAGCTCTCCTCTATAGCATGAATATCACTGACCCCTCCAGACTAAAACAGTCTAGGTTTTCTGCAGTGTGGTTACAGTAATGTGTAAATAGCTTCAGTTAACTCCTTTTGCACGGTAGAATAATATTACTTACTGTACATGAATTATGAGCACAAGATCTGGCTATTTCCACATTTTGAAAAGGATTCAGTTATTTACTGACATTGGTGCGCATCCTTTGAGAAATAATTTTCTTGAACTTTGAGCAGTATCTCCAAGGGAAGTATTAATGCTTTGGCATACCTGCATTTTCCGTTAGTTCTTGCTTGCTTGACAACTGGCTTTAATGATGAAAAGGAAAACAAAGTGCTGAAGAGAAAAATGGAAGAGAACTGTTTTAATGTGGATTGCATTTTGTCAGACTCTCTTTCTAGGAAATAGTTCACAAATGAGACTTTTCAGTTTGATTTAAAACAATTATGATCACGATTCACTACTAAATAAATATCCCCTCAAATAAACTAGATATGAAGAAAAAGAAGGGTATCATCCCTGATTTCCTTTAGAACCCACAAGTTGGTAACTTTAAGTTGTGTTTTGGTGAGTAGTAACTGTTTTTTATCATAGTGAGTTCTCAAATTGCATGTATGAATTAAACGGCAAGAGAAATTGGGCCCGGATCTGAAGGTGTCTGCTATGTGGAGAAGGAAGTATGAAATGGAAAGAAATTGAGATATAGATTTATTTTGCAGGGGGAAAAAAAAGAAAATAAATGGGGAAGAAGTGTGCCACATCCACTGTAAAAGAAATAAGGAGTTTTACATTGTGTGAACTGAAATGACAGTTACAAAATGAAAAATGTAGTTTCACAACTACAAATATGTTAATGGAGTCTATGCATGCTTTGCTTAGTTCTTCATTTCAGTTTTGACATTCGTTTAATTTTTTTCTATGTTAACTATGTGGTTTTATAATTATTTACACAAAATAAATATTGTTCACAGTTTCAGGCCTTTGGGGAAATTGGTTTTTATCCACAGGTGGACAAGGTCTTTGTACTACATTTATTTACAATAAAACACAGTGTGTTTCTGAGCTCCTGCATCAATCTTTACCCTCAGAATGGTAAAAACAAAAACAAAAACAACAAAACAAAAATCCACCATCTTGTATTTCATTTTTGCTTTTTCTTAACAATAACTTTGGCCATTTCCCCTCCCAAGTTCACTCTATTTGTGTACTAACTTTTCTTCAACCTTTTTAATATGAAGCAAATTGGTAGAGTATGCTCTGTGTCTGACCATTCTGCTAGCCCAATGAGTATTAATAGCAAATAACCCTTGGCCCCTTTGACAGTTGAGTCTGTCTAATCTAACTAGCAGCTCGCTTTGCCTTCTTACATGCTCACTAGCCATCATGCTCACCCTTCTTTTCCAGATCCACTTCCTCATGATACTGTCTTCTAACTGGGCTTACTTAAAGGATGCGAGCAAAATGCAGGCTTACCAGGATATCAAAGCAAAGGAAGAACAGGAACTGCAAGATATCCAGTCTCGGTCAAAAGAACAGCTCAATTCTTATACATAAATGTTTGCCAGAGTATTTCAGCCGACGAATTCACAGCTCTGACATATCATCAGACAGCTGCTCTGCAGTACAGATGTGTATCCCACCCAACTAACGTAGACGTACCACCATTTCCCTGTCTGTCTCAAGCTGCTGGGATGTATCTCTAGGAAAAAAACCTTTCCAGTGGGTAAATCTTTTTCTTTAGAACAAATATTGGAGGTTTCATGTTAGCCATTTTAAAAGGAAACACTTTGAACAAAACGATGGTTTTCATCATTTGGGGCATGTGCACATTTATTGCTAGAGCAATGCTACTGAGCTAGGCCATGGGAATATATGATACTTGATAGGGACCTGTGACATGCCAACATTCAAGTATGTGACAATAAATTTACATATGCCACCTGTCCTCAGATATGATCTATGTAAGAAATAAAATGAAATTGATGAGAGGTTCTATTTCTGACAGCTGACCTTGATTAAACTTCGGCCCAACAGAGAATGAGATTCTTTCAACTTGTGTTTTTATTTTCTAATTTTTTAAGGTCCAGTCTGATTAATTTCCTGGACCGAATCAGAAATTTAGTTTTTTCAATAATGCTAAAACAAACTGCTAAACTTACTACTGAAAAATCAGTTTTGTAATAGATTTCATTTTAACAAAATGACGCCATTTTCATCACTCTTGTTGGGAAAATGTCAGCTCTGCCTTAATAAATATTTGCTTTAAATTTCTAAGAATTTATATTATAGCCAGACACCCACCCCCCTGAAAACCTTAACAGAATTTTGTTCCATATTTTTCTTAAGAAGTGTTACCTTATTAAAATGACCACCAATTCTTAAACCATTTTTAAGTGGTCTGGGTATGAGTTTACAGTTTTCATACCGACTATCTAAAACTTAACTGCAGATTGACCACAAACTTCTAACCTCCTACTTTTATAGACTTGAATACGTAAGTAACTTACATTAGGGTTGGTATTTATTTCATTGTTTTCTTAATTTCCTGGAATAATAATGTCTCATGTTCAGCAAGAAAACTGCTTGAGTTTAAGCCATTTGCAAAAGAAACTTGCCTTCTAAATCATTGTGTTCCAGAACATTAAGTGACTGTAGGTACTGGGTATTAGTGATGGTAAACTTTGTGTTGTTTTCTGAAATGATCCATATAATTGTGGGGGTGCATCAGTGCTTTTCAAAAGGGGCTGCATACTATAGGGTTAACTATGTATATTCATGTTAAGAGTTAACTTGTGGTTTGGCTGTTTCCTGGATTTTAAAACATATACACGTGCAGAAATGTATTCAAATGAAAGGAAGCATACCTTTATCAAGATGCTATTAAAATTGAACATCAAGTTAAATATTTCATTTGAATTTCTTTTTTGGTTAATGCCTAAAATGCCTATTTGGATTATTTTGAATTGGAAGAAGCTCTCTTCTGTGTAGAACAGTTGTTCCAAGTAGCTTAGTGTTTTGTTTTCCTGTTGCATGACAGACTTTAATATTTTTTCCAGCAGTGGAGGTGCTGTTGTAGTCCAGTGTTCTAGAAGAGGCAGTATCTAAAAAGCCTAATTTTACTTTTCTAATTCTGGTAGCTATTACCAAGAATTTTCGAAAGTTTTGTTGAAGTAGTCTAATATTTTTTATGTAAAGAGCATTAAATTTTGCTATGTATAAATTTTTGTAACCTAACAGTGAATCAATATTTTCTATCAGTGCCAAGGGCTTCCTGTAGTTCTATTCAAGTGTTACAATAAATATTTGTAGATAATAGTCAATACTTGTGTATGCTTATTTTAAAGATCTATTTAGGTGGAAATAGTTGTGGATGTACTAAGAGTAATGAAAATAAAATTATAGCTTCATTCGCTTGCCTTTTTACCATACATAAATCCTATCTTTCTCTGTTCTCAGTATGGTGTCATTTTTAAATATGCATAATTGGGATTTCATATTTGTATAGATATCTAGTCCATGAGAGTGCTATACATTTTATTCCTCACAAACGTCTCTAGTTTCAGTGAAAGCAATGAGAAAACATTGTAACCCAGCTGGCTATATTTTGCATAAAATGCCACTAGCCCATTAGAAATCTGGAAGAAGTATAGATTATTTTTTTCTGACTTCTTTCTCCAATAAATAAAAGCCATCTACAGGATTAATACAAGGCTTAATCTTGGGTAAAGCAGAAACTTTGGGGAGCCTTAGAAAGAGCTCATATACTGTTGGCTGATTTTCAACCCCAAAGTATAAACGTCTAGTGCAAGATTTATCCAGAAATACAACAGAATGTTCTTCTAACACTTATTTCCTGAAGCAGCCAAACTAAATTTTTTAAATTTCCTTTTTTATTTTTTTTAAAACTCCTCCTCTGTCAGGCTGATTGTGCATTTGGATTTTTCTATCATCTGACCTTTCTTTGTGAGGACCAGCCTTTCAGTAGTGACACACTGACACTTCCAAAGGAGGTGCCGACTCTGGATCACTGCCCTTCATCAGGCATGGCAGGAGAACAAGCAGGCGCCTAATTGGCATGTTATTTGTCTCATTACTTAGAACATTGTTTAAGTAGCATTTTATGCAATTTCAGAAGCCACATTAGTGTCCTAAATAAACTAAATAATGATTGGAAAAAAAATCACAAGTGGTCTCTTTATTAACAATAATCCCACCATAAAATGTAGGAACCTGTGGAAGGCAGAGGTTTTTCCAGTTCCCCTTGTAAAACTCTTAGGAGATGAAAAGCCTGTCCGAGTTATAGGAAAGAGCCTACTGTTTTTAAAAACAACAAACAAAATGCTGTAGATGAATTCAGTAAAAATAAATACCAGCTGGGTGCTGGTGGCTCAAGCCTATAATCTTAGCTCCTCAGGAGGCTGAGATCTGAGGATCCTGGTTCAAAGCCATCCCAGGCAGCAAAGTCCACAAAATTTACTACGATTAACCATGAGAAAGCTGGGAGTAGAGCTATGGCTCAAGTGGTAACAGTACTAGCCTTGAGCAAAAAATAAAATAAAATCTCAGGGACAACACTCAAGCCCTGAGTTCAAGCCCCTGAACCAGCACCAAAAGCAAAACCCAGAAATTCCACAGTAAAGACATTATCTCAGCCTATTCCTACTGCTGTCACAAAATACATCTGATTGGCTTTTTTTAAATAAAGAACAGAAGTGTATTTCTTATGGTTTGGTTCAGGGACTGGTTGCGGGCCTGCTTCCACAATGGTACCTTGTTGTATCCTCCAAAGGAATGAATACTATGTCTTCAAATTCTGAGACAACATAAAGGCCTAGCTAATTCCCTCCAGCCTTTATCCAAGGTCATTAATCCTATTCAGGAGAGTTCTGCCCTTATGACTCAATTACTTCCTAAAGGTCCACTTCTTAATTTAATGTGATGATTAGTGGAGTTTAGGTCCAAATGCATGATGTTTTTGAGGGACAATTTAAATCACAACAGGTGTTAAGATGACTATTTCTAGAGCTTAGAAAAATCTGTGTCTTTATGTGCAGGGAGAAAACGTGAGAGTGCTAGAAGATGGCCTCCTGTTTTCCAAGTCATAGGCCAACTCTGAAGATAAAGGCCACATTGCATAGACTTTCACACTGTTGGCCTAGAGTTTGATCAGTAAGTTTTCATGCTTCCAGCATCAGAGTTTTTGCCTGTGAATACAGGACCAGTATAATGAATGAGAAAAAAATTTTCAGTCATGGAGCTTGAACTCAGGGACTGGACACTGTCCCTGAGCTTTTTTTGTTGTTGTTGTTGTTGTTTTTGCTCAAGGCTAGCATAGCATTCTACCACTTTGAGCCACAGCTCTACTCCCAGTTTTGGGGTGGTTAATTGGAGAGAAGTGTCTCATGGACTTTCCAGCCCGGGCTGGCTTCAAACCTTGATCTTCAGATCTCAGCCTCCAGAGTAGCTAGGATTATAGAAACGAGCAGCCAGTAGCCAGCTATTAATGAGAAATTCTACACTTGCAAGTTACTCTGGGTTCATATAGCACCAAAATAAAATCATGTAAAAATCACACTCGATGACACAGGTTTTTTTTTTTTATTGAGAGTTTTGTCTGATTACAGGGAAACATTTAACAAGGAGTCCATGTTGTGTAACTTCTCATTGTTGTACACAAGAAGTTAGGCTGCCAACATGAGATTACCAGATGTCATCTGGCTCTTCCTCTTCCTGAGACATGCCTGTGAGACTAAATTACACAAACATTAGAAATTTCAAACATTCATGTCAAGCTGGAGATCTTCAGAATGTTCTCAATCTTTCCCTGGGGGATTTCTGCCCTGACATATAATTAGTATCACAATGGACTTTTCTTAAGTCAGGTGTTTTTTCCTTTGCATCAGCCCAGGCTAGCCTCAAATTCATGATCATCCTCACTCAGGCATGCATCACCACACCCAATTTAGAAGGCAGTCATTTTGGTTGCTTCAATAATTTCTTAAAGGCAAACTCAAATGTTAGAACCATACGAGCAACAAATGTTTGCTTAAAGAACAGTGTTGGGGTGGGGCCGGGAAGGTGGCTCAGTGGTAGAGCGCTTGCCTTTGCTTGCATGAGGCACTGGGCGTTGATTCCTCAGCACCACATACGCAGAAAAAGCTGGAAGTGGCACTGTGGCTCAAGTGGTAGAGTGCTAGCCTTAAGCTGAAGAGCTGAGGGACAGTGCCCAGGCCCAGAGTTCAAGCCCCATGACCGACAAAAAAAAAAAAAAAAAAGAAATGGCTAACAAGAGACTTTTAATATGTTTGGGGGATCATGTCCCCATGTTTGGGAGGGACTAAAGGTGGCTTGACTTGAGACTGTACTGTGAGTTTGTTGCTGGCCAAAGCTAGACCAAAGCACCAATCTCCTCCCAGCTCAGCTCCCTGCTCCCAGCTCCCACTACCACCAGAGAGGGATGTAGGTGAACTGGAGGAGAGGAAAGAAGCATGGACTGGACAGGAAAAGTCTGATGTCAAGTTTTCTTTCAGAGCTAACACGTGCCATCAACTTTTTTTGGTAAACTGAAATAGGTATGTGTTTGCTCATTTGTTTTGTTTCCATGTAGTACTGAGGCTTGAACTCAGAGCCTGGGCATAGTCCTTCAGCTGTTTATTCAAGGTTGGTGCTTTACTACTTGAGCAACAGCTCTACTTCTGGCTTTTTGCTGATTAATTTGAGGTAAGAGTCTCACGGGACTTTCTTGCCTAGGCTAGCTTGGAACTCTAATCCTAGCTAGGATTACAGGTATGAGCCACCAGCGCCTGACTGAAATATAAAGTTTTACACAAAGGAAGCAAACATAAAAAGATATTCACATTACTACAATGACATTAAAGATACAGAATGGGAGTTGGCCATTTTTTCTGTGTTTCCCTCATTATTCCTTAAGATGATAAAGGTTCCTGGTAACAGACTGTGGAGAGAAGACTTAGGGATATGTATAATTGTTCTGTCAGATGCTGAACAAGAAAAGTGTCTCAAAAAGGCAACTGGCAAGCTTCTCATCAGAAGTTTTCCTCAACAATAATTTTACATGTGTATATGGGGAGTTCTTTAGAAATGTCATTAACAATGGTTAACACCCCAAATCCAAGGCTTGGAATCTTGTATGCTCTAAAATGTCCTTCAGGGGATCCAATAGAAGGAATTTACAGAGCACACAGATTCGCATTTGAATGTATGGCTGTGCTGCATGCTCACTGAAAGGAAGTACGACTCACGTGGGTAGTGATATGGGCTGAGGCTGGGTATTACAGCAGCTGCGGCGGCATCCATGGGAGGCATATCACCAGCAGGGTGGAACCCTTCAGTTTCAAACTGCTTTGACCTGTTCTTTGCATCTACAGGAGGTAAGACAATTGTGCCATGAGTCCTTAGTAACAAGAGCAAGCAAAGGAAGAGCAGGGCAAGGGGTGGGGATCTAACCAGAGGGGATGGGAACTCAGCTCAGAGAAGCTGGGCCTTTTCCTATAGGATTCCAGAACATTTCCAACTATTTGACAACATTTTCACTTCTCAAGATATGCTTCTATTTTAGAAGATTACCTTCGTTCACACAAGTCACTTCATTGCCCAGCAAGCAAAATCAAGCAAGGAAGAGAAAATAATTCACTTGGCTTGCTGATAAGTTATTTGAATTCACTTGAAACATCAGTGATTAAAAAGTTTAAAAAAGTCCTTTTACCTAGTGAGTTTAAAAGGCCACAACAATCTAAGCTTTCTCATTGAATTGTCCAAAACATGACATTTTCAGATTTGATGGTGAAGTTCACAAGGCTAAACGATAGGTTATATGTGAATGTAAAGTTTTCTCTAGCTAGAAAGAGCCTCAGCAGCAATGTGGTGCACATCTGTTGCCCTTCCAGAGTAGACTATGGGGTAAGACAGTCCAAGGCAGGACCAAAAAACCCAGCATATGTGCAATTATTTCACTGAGGACAGGGTTTTCTAAGTTTGAGTAATAAACAGAACCAGTCTAAAGAAAAATTACTTGTTTTATTTTAGTTTTTTTGCTGGTCATGGGGCTTTAACTCAGGGTCAAGGTGCCGTCCCTGAGCTCTTTTGCTCAAGGCTATCCCTTTACCACTTTAAGCCACAGTGCCACTTCTTGTTTTCTAGTGGTTAATTGGACATAAGAGTCTCATGAACTTTCCTGCACAGGCTGGCTTTGTACTGGGATTCTCAGATCAAAACCTCCTGAGTAGCTAGATTACAGGTGTGAGCCACCAGCACCCAGCAAAAAATTACTTATTTTAAATCTGAGATAATTCCAAACTTGGCAAATGAAGGATTTGTTGATGGGTTTGCCTGTAACTCTGAAATTGTGGGTCATCCTGAAAATTTTTAAACAGAGACTCAAAGGCACCCCTAAAAAACGAGATAATACATTGGCATATTTGGTCTATTACAAAATAAAAATACCACTATTGGTAACTGTTTTGTTTATACTAATGGCTATGTTTCACCAAAAATAAGCTTTCTACATTTTCAGCTAATAAAAATCAGCTTACCAAATATTTATATTGAACTTACATCGAAAAGATGATTCAAATTCTTCATTATCATTAAAAGGTAGCTTGTTCAGGTTTGAAATTTCAATTTTGTCTTTAACTTCAATTTGTCTCTGATAAATACTAGATTGGAAAGACAAAATTCATGAATGGGAAGTGCTAAGAACATAAAAGCTGGAAAGCTTTTTTGTGGCTTAAGAAATACACATACAAAATTTCTTGTTCATTGGCTTGTACACCAATGGCTCTGGGCCTAGGCTTGTGGCTGACTGGTAGAGTGCTTGGTCAGCACATATGATGACCTGTGTTCCATCCCAGCAACACACACACACACACACACACACACACACACACACACACACACACACACAGTGCCCAATGCGTTAAGTGCTCACCAGGTACTGTGTTTTACAATCCATGTTTACCCACCCCTGAAGTGCTACTACTTACCAAAGAATGCTTGTGCTCTCATTGTTATTTCTAGAAATTTAGATTTCCAATAAGTAAAAAAACTGTGTGTGTCTGCCAGCACCAGGGTCTAGAATCCAGGGCAACCACGGTTGGTGTTGCACTATTTGAGTTATACCTTCACTTCTGGCTTTTTGCTGGGTTGTACATAAAAATGTCACAGACATTTTTGCCCGGGCTGATTCTGAACTGTGATCCTCAGACCTCAGGCCCCTGGGTAGCTAGCATTACAAGCATAAGCCACCAGGGTTCTGCTTAAAAACATTAAAATAATAAATTCTGCCGGCCATCAGCATATGCCGCAGCTCCAGCTGCAACGATCAGCCGGGCTGTGTATCAACGTGCGCTAGCTTGCCGTAGCTGTGCCTCTAGCCTTTGCCTTTTGCTCTCTCAAAAGAATGCACAATATAAAAAACAAAGTTAAAGCCCTAGAACCATGATAGACACATGTGGCTGTTTTCAACTCTGTCTGGAGAACTATATAAATCTCGGGTATTCAGATGTGCGCCCTAGACCACTTCTCCCTTCTTCAACAATCACACTGCGGAAATCAGTCATTTTTTAAAATTTGCTTCCATGATATACAAAGTAGAACCATATCTCTTTATATTTAAATGTCAAAACATTTCAAAAGTGACTTGGTAGCCATGTGTAAAGTCTTTCTAACTTTAAAAATAAACCCACTTTGGGTTGACAAATTTATACATTTGTTTATGATTACAAACAGAACTGATTTCGAGGCCTATAAAGATGTGGCTTAATAACATATCATGTTGGCCACATCATTCAGATGATTTTCAAACATCATGTGATTTCACTATCTGTCACATGATCTTTAATATCACCTGAAACAACCAAAGTACAAAGTAGCCGGTGACATGATTCAACTGAAGCTCACCAGAAAATGGTACTTACTTGGCCTTCTGTTGCATAGGGCCCAAGTAGGGAGGGAAAGAGAAGCTATGCCTATCAGCAAGTGCTCTGTCAGGACAAAAACTGGGAGAAGCAGCCTGTGACTTAACCATACCTAAAGGGTAGAAGCAATCAGGACAAGAATATTAAAAATACATGGAGAAGATTATCAATGTAGTTTGCAAAAATCTCTATTAGTTCAAAGACAAAATCTTTTTGTATTGGTGGTGGTAGTGGTGCTTAAACTCAGGGCCTGGGTGCTGTCCCTAAGTTTTTCTGCTCAAGGCTAGCACTCAACCACTATGAGCTGCAGCTCCAGTTCTGATTTTCCGGAGGTTAATTGGAGATAAGAGTCTCATGGACTTTCCTACCCTGGCTGGCTTTGAATCATGATCCTCAGATTTTCAGCCTGCTGAGTAGCTAGGATTACGGGCGTAAGCGGCTGGCATCCAGCTCAAAGACAAATTCTATCTACCCTACAGTATTGTAAGATCCACAAGTAGTAGATTAAAGCACATAAATCTAACAATAAGGTAATACTAACATGTCAAGTGAAAGCCACTAATGTTCTTTAGACATGCCTACTTACTAAGAAATACTACATCTTAAACCCTATATTCCCCTGATGTCTACAACCCTGTGACATGGAAGGAATGCCACTGTTGACCAGAAGGTGGCAGACTGGGATCAACCACCAATGCTCAAAGCACCCGCCCCCCCCCCCCCACACACATTGACTGCTGTGTGAGCTCCACCCCTTTCTGTGGTCCAGGTGCTATATTCTCATTCAAAAGGTCTTGTGTGTGGACCAGGGCTGCTTACCTTCCAGAATATCCCACAAGCCTATGAATCAGTGACTTACCTTCCAGATACATTTCATGATCGAGGCTTCTTCTTGCTTTGGGAAAGGGTGTGGAGGAAAAATGTTTGGAGGAAGAGCTCCTGTGTAGCTGACACGACATACTGTCCATCAGTGCTCCCGACGTGTCACTCTTTTCCTCTTTAAGCATATGCACCGGAGGGGGCTCAGGAGCCACATAGGCCTCTGTGAAAGCGTGCTTTTCCAGGGGACTGGGCATGATGTGTCTGCACGTGTCTAGCAAGGGCAGAGACTGCGGACTCTTTGCTGGTGAGGGTGGGCTTCTAGGAATGTTTACAGCAGTTCTTCGTCGGTAATTTCTGTAAGCATCTTCCAAGCGTTCAGCTTCTTGCTCTAGCTCTCTTACCCTAGCCTTAGTATTGACTACAAACTCATTGTCAGAGTCAGGGGAACTACTTTCCTTCCCTGAAGGTGGATAACCTATAAATTTTCCCATGAGGGCATTTGCTAGAGCCTTTCCATGTTCAAATGGCCTGAAGAGGAAACTGGTCCCTATATCACCATTGGGAGGCGGTGTGCTGTCATTCACAGGATGGTTCATCACAGACTGCTTTGGATTGCGGTATACTTCATTCTCTAGGGCTGCCGGGCACAAAAAGAACATTCGACAAATGATGAGAAAAGTCAGTGAATCAAATGTGCTTGCAAATCTACTTGTTTTTTTGAAAAAGGAAAGAAGGTAATGCAGATAAATTTGCCTGTTAAACCATTCCTGAAGCCACAGTAACAAGTATTGACCTTTACTGGCAGCTTATAGATAGACAGATAAATAGATAGATAGATAGATAGACACACACACACACACACATACACACACACACATATATATCTTCTATAATGCATGATATAAGTTCACAAATAGTTATACATGATTTGGAAATCCAAAAAGCTCTGAAAAATGAAAACTAATCTATAGTTTATTTGATGGAACATCTAACCAGATGAGCTTATTTGGCTAAAAAGCATAATCTGAATAGACATAGACCACTACAGTCCCATCAGATGGATGTTCATGTATTTGACTGCAAAATGATAGATGTGTTTCAATAAAGGGGAAAAAAACACCTCAATTCCCAGGGAGGTTGCAAAATTCATAGTTCATGGCTGAGTTTCAGACCATACAGAGGACATTCTCACTGCACCCCTTTCTCAGCTAGGGGATAGAGGCTTACTGAGGCTCAGTGACATAGTCTGCACATCCTAGAGTTTCTGAGATTTCCTAACACAAAGTCACTGCACAAGCTAGATTCTCTCCTGCAATGCAGACCCTCTGGTACTAACAGACAGAAGCTTGCAATGGGCAATGGATACATGAAGAAGGGCTCTAGCCTTGCTGAATTAATATTCGTGATGAAAGTCTGCTATGATTTCAGCTGCAGACAGTCTGGGAGAAGATGAGGAACAGGAAAATGTAGAGAGGAGGAGAGAGAAAAATGAAACTTATAACTAGGTTTTAGTAGCTTGTGCCTGAAATATTAGCTACTTAGGAGGCCGAGATCTAAGGACTGTGGTTTAAAGCCAGCCCAGGCAGGAAAGTCTGTGAGACTCTGACCTCTACTTAGCTACCAAAGAGCTGGAAAGGAAGCTGTGGCTGAAGTGGTAGAGTGCTAGCCTTGATTGAAAAAGCTAACGAACAGCATAAGGTCTGGAGCTCAAGCCCCAGTATCTCCGCGCGTGCGCACGCACACACGTACACACACGTGTACACACAAACACACATGCACGCACGCGCACGCTGGTGCTAGTAGAAGAGAACAAGGGAGTGATGAAAAAAAGAGTACAGATGGGAACTAAAAAAGGCTCAGATCAACAAGTCTGGGGAATCAGATGAACTGACTCACATACACTCTGAATGGATAGCAACTGAAAAAGAAGGTATACTGCAATACATTCCTTGTGAAGTAGGAGGGGGCAAATAAATACTCATCAACCGTGAAGGCACAGTAATACATCGCCAGCAGCAACTATTTTTTTAAATGCTGGTACTGGGCCTTAAACTCAGGGACTAGGCGCTGTCCCTGAGCTTTTATGCTCAAGTCTAGAGCCCTACCACTTGAGGCATAACTCCATTTCTGGTTTGGTGGCTAACTGGAGATAAGAGTCTCACAAACTTTCCTGCTTGGGCTGGATTTGAACTGTGGTCCTCAGATCTCGGCTTCCTAAGTAGCTGGGATTACACAGGTGAGTTACCAGTGTCTGGAGGAGCAGTAACTATTCTGTGAGTGTCACTTATGAACCAGGAATGGAACCCATGACCCATCTTATTTAATCTTTGTCCACTATGGCCCGGTTGTTATTACTATACCCACTAAAAATGAGGAAATTGAGGCCAAGGGAAATTAAAGTATCATGCTTTGGAGTCCAAAATAAAAATAGGTCTCTAAATCCAACAGGAATGTTCGTTTCCCAAAATCAACCTGTTTCTCTCACATATTTTTGCATCTGTCTGTTAAGCATGTATAAAAGTATTGGCTGGACAGTCTTATTATTAGGATAATACAGAAAAAATGGAAAGCTTAAGATGAATTTGCAGACTTCTGTATCATCATTACACCTCTGCAAATTGAGATACCCGCAAAAGCAATCACTTTACCCAATAACCCAGTTAGTATGCTTGAGATAAAAGTTTCATCTCTTGAACAGTACATACTTCTATGGCTTTCCCCCAGTATAAGAATCACTATGTGATCAGTAAGTGACTATCATTACAATTCCACAAGCTTTACACACAGAGATATAGTTAAGGGTTAAAAATGTTTCTAACCCGTCTGAGTCTGTTTCAGTTGCAATTTTAAATCAGTAATCTGAAGAGTTAACCTCTTTACAGATGCATCATAATCCAATATCTGGGCCTTTAGCTGTGCAGAATGTTCGATCTGAAAAGATTCAGAGAAGAAAAATAAATCAATGTAAAACAAATCTGAACTTCTTTCAAAAGGAAAACATTTTCTCATTGTGTTTATCCTCTTTTCTGTTTTACCAATACCAGTAATCAGTGGGTCTCCATTCAAACACACAAACAACAACAAACAGAACAGACATTTTCATTACCTTTTTCATTCATAGAACAGCTACTTTTGGGTATGCAGGCAGCAATCAAAAAGATACAATGGACATTTTTAAGTCTCAGGATGAGAATTAAGAGACTAACGGTGGGTACTATCAGGCCCTCTCTGAAAAGATTATGTTTAAGTGAGGTTGCTCTCTGTTCAATATATTACTATTAAAAATATAATGCCATAGCATTACTACTTTATGTCATTAAAGAAGGAGCTCTGGGTATTAAAATAGATCTGTTTGGTCTGACTTGTGACAGGTTTGCCTATTCAAACCTGTATTTGAACAAGGATTTGGATACCTGTATCCAAATAAGTATTTGACTGGAATGATCCTAGCAAGAGCAAAGAAAATACTCACTTCACTTTGTAGCAGCTTCTGGAGGGCTTGTTTCTGAGATTTGAACTCCTTCTGCTCAAATGCCATGGTACTTTCAACTTTTTGTAACTCATTCTGTAAAACCAGAACCTCGGGAGATGGCTGAGCCATGCCTAAAATGTAAAAGGCCGAGTCATTATTAATCTTAAATTGGCTTATTTCACTTAACAAAAACAAACTAAAGAGACTTTACATGGTTTTGTATAATGAATCTTGTAACCATCAGGTTTTTGTTGTTGTTGTTGGTGGTGGTGGTGGTCATGGAACTTGAGCTCTTCAGCTCAAGTCTAGCACTCTACCACTTGAGCCACAGTGCCACTTCTGATTTTCCAGTGCTTTATTGGAGATGAGTCTCATGGACTTTTCTGCCTGGGGCTGGCTCTGAACCTCGATCTTCAGATCTCAGCCTCCTGAGTAGTTAGGATCACAGGCGTGAGCCACCAGTGCCTGGCAACCATCAGTTCTCTTAAATAGACTAAGCATAATCCTGATTCCCAAAATTCAGAACAAAAGAGTTTAATACACATTACTGCCACTTCATTACTCATAAAGTCTGAGAATTCTTTCAAATTGTCAAATGAACTGAAAAGCTTGCCCCTCTCTCCCCTACCACCCACAAATTGCATCTTAGGCTCTCTCTAGCTGTCTACCTATAGATGACTACCTAGAGAGGTCTCATCCAATCTGAACCACTGTCAGCAACAGTCATGCTCTAGCTTGGAAGCAGATAGTGCTCTCAATCCAGTTCACCTGAGGAACTAAAAAAAGGATATTTTATATAAGGGAACCACCGAGGATGGTGCAGCCCACTGGGCTAGAAATAGGATCCAGCTGTGAGTAACCCTTGAGCTTGAAGGGTTTGAAGAGGGAGATATGTCCAGACCTGAGAGAACAAGTAAGCACAGGAACAGAGTACTACCACCCACAGATAGTGACCTTGCTTGGCTGAGAGGTGCAGCTGGCAGGCAGGCAGACAGCCTAGACTCCTCTTCCTGCCTCCTTCCAAGTGCTTCCTGGATTCCTCCCTGACCAAACTCAAGGAGCAGTCAGAGCATAGGCACCTGTTAACATCCACCAAGCACAGCACTATGTAATGTAGCTTAAATAATACTATTAATTATGCAATAGCAAGCAAAAAGGAAGTCATTCCAATGCAAGAAGCCTATAAACATCTACCCAAGTTGAAGCATTCCTTTCAGATATAAAGCAAAGGTACAAATGCTGAGTTACAGAAAGGTCCAAATCAGAACAAAAAGACATACAGTTTAGGAGACGCAAGTTTTCATTCCTAGACTCTTCCAGCTGTTTTCTCAGTAATTTATTTTGCGCCTGAAGGTCTGCTTTTTCTTCTTTCACTAGAGAGTAATCACTCATCTCTTTAACCTTTTCATTCAACAAGTGGTTTTGTTTGGTTAATGTTGAAAATTGGTTTTTGACAGATTGTAACTCCACCTGAAATTGAGAAAGGAAAATGGACATTTTAATAATCACCTTACAGTACTGCAAAAGAGCTGGGACATTCGCTTTGTTTGTGCCTGTGCTGAAGCTTGAACTCAGGGCCTGGGGCATTATCCCTTTGCTTTTTCAGCTCAAGGCTGGTGCTCTACCACTTGAGCCACAGCTCTACTTCCAGCTTTTTTTGAGGGGGTTAATTGAAAATAACAGTCTCACCCCTTTGGGTATCACCTTTATAATAACAGTAACAACAAATTAAAAAGCGATTAAACAACAAAAAAAACCCTCAAACTTTTTTGCCTAGGCTAGCTTTGAACTATGATCCTTTAATCTCTGCCTTCTGAGTAGTTAGGATGAGAGATGACAGCCACTGATTTGGGAAGTTCTTTTAATCTGAGCCTTACATCTTAGTGACGATCCCTGGACAGAGCTTGGTTCTTTACAGCAAGACCCTAACTGCCATATGTGTACTAGTGGTGAGGCAGGAGTCAACAGTGACACGTATCTACAGACCTATGTCCTATGAAGTGGAGGGCTTATGATGAAGGTTCTCTCTACAATTTCTAAATGTACCAAGAACCAGTAACAATCACACACTGCTACAAGGTGATCTACTCTAAAGGTCAAGTGCCTTCCTTTTCCTAAGTCTAGTATATCTCATAGTTGGATACAGAAGGCTATAAAGGTCTCAAGTCCTCACAGTTGCAAAAGTAAATTTTATATAAAGAACATACTTTAAGTACCTAAAGTTTCAACTCCTCCCTTCAGCCAGCAAGCACACTAACAAAGAAAGTAGTAACATGGTATGGGAAAACTTGTCTCATCTTGTCTTAATTGATAAGCTAAAAATGATAACAATATGTACCTCCTGCTGACAGGACAGAAGAGGCTGAGACAGAAACTATTACCTACTGGCCATCAGCTATGAGCTAGTTCATTGAATTCCTTCAATACCTTTGTGATATGGGAAATAGCTCAGAGTCTACAGAGCACAGGCACACAATTGTAAGAGAAACAGGATTTCAGCAGGACTATAGGACCCAAAGCTCTTCCTCCATTTCTTTAACTTTGATTGAAATTAAGAACTAATAAACTGACTTATTCAGCTATCACTTTTAGTCTTAGAATAACCAGTCCAAACTTGTCAAGACAACATAAGCCAGGTGTGGTGGGTCAACCTTGTAATCCTAGCTATTCAGGAGGTAGAGATTAGGGCACTGTGGTTAGAGGCAAAAGAAGTTTGAGAGACCGCATTTTAACTCATGGCTGCACACAATGGCTTACACCTATAATCCCCTGTGACGTGGGGAAGCCCAAGTAGGAGGACTGCAGCGCAGGCATACAGCAAGACCTTGCCTCAAAAATAATCAAAGCAAAAGGAGGCTGCAGGTGTGTCTCAAGTGGTAGAGCACCTGATAGTAGGTGTGAGCCCCTGAGTTTAATCCCCAGTTCTTCCAAAACAAGAAAAGAGAGAATATGACAGAAGATAAACTATGAATGACTTAATCTGAAATTTTATATATTGCCTAAAGTCTATTTCAAAACACAATAGCTCAATAAATACCTCAAGATCTTTCATCTGATTTACAGATTTACTGAGTTCTTCTTTTTTTAAATTAATCACTGCAAGCTCCTCTTGAAGATGAACAGATCTTTCTGGGGGGGAAAAAGAGCCTATGAGTTAAACAATATTTTCATAGTGAATACAAAAACTAGTAATTTATGTGCAGTATAAAAGACTAAATGATCATTATTTCCTAAACTAAAGCAGCAAATGTAGGAGTCAAAAACTTTATTTGGCAAGTAATAAATAAATCCTGTTACCCAACGGGTGATATGACGTTACAACTGTCATATATGTGGTGAAGTACTTGCTACAAGTTAAATAGAGTTATAACATCTCAGAGCACAGCATTCTAATGCTGACCGTGACAAATTTCCTTAAAGATAAAGATCTGGTGGTTACCCTTTTTGCAGTTTATACTTCCTCTAAGAAAAGTCTATAGTAGATATATCATCAAACAACAATTTCTTAAATACATAATGGTCAAATTCATAAAAGATAGTGGCAAATGGAGTAATATCAAGTCCCCAGCTCTTATTTACTTGAGAATTTGGATAAAATTTCCACCAAAAGTTCCAATTCTTGTCACAGGCAATTTCCCAGAAATATACTGAGATGTAAAATAGCCGAAAATTGAAAAATTATTCAATTCCTATAGTTTCAGGTCAATATATATATGCACACACACACACACACACATATGAATTTAGGAGGGTATATGTTGTCAAGTACCATGAAGCATAAAAATATAGTAGAAGCAAAATAAGAGACTTGGTTACAAAAATAACACATAAACAAATATTGAAGTTTCTCATAGTAAGAGTAATATTTACCAGGGGGCAATAAGTTGCTGCTATCTTTCTGGGAATCACAGATTTATAAAAAAAAAAATCAAGTGTTTGAATTGAATTGGAAAAAAGTTAGATAAAACACTGAAGATACAAGTCTCTGTGAATATGCAAACTGGGAAGCATGGGAGGAGAATAACAGGTGTGATACTGATCATGCTGTATGTATTGACATGTTGAGTTGAAATCCCTTTGTGCAACTACTTAAATACCACCAAACCCAAATGTTAAACATGAAGCCATCTCAAAAGGTAGTGAAAAATAATGTTTTGATTTTGTAACATTAAAATGACAAAAAATGTGTTGCTTTAAAAATATGAAGTGTAAGCTATATTTGTAAATAATACAGAACAGACCCAATTCCAGAAAGTAAAAACCTGCATCAGAATTGAAAAATACAGCCAGCTCTCCCTCCATCACCTTTATTTTTCCTTTCATCTTCCATGAGTTTATTACTTCTAGTGATGTATTCATCCTTTAGTTCAAGTTGATACCTGAGAATCAGAATGACTAAAATGAGTCCCTTGTCATCTTCCTAGAAGGACTGTTATATGTGCAAGAGCTTATCTACTACATATTGAGCCGCAGGGTTTAGAACGTGGTAGCCCAGAAACTAGAATGTCTCTAAATTCTAAGTCCACAGATTTGATCTGAACCTTTAAAGGTCTGGTAGAATCTAGTGTGGCCCCTAAAAAATCGGGTCCAGAACTCAATCACACACAATAAAAAGTGCCACCTTTAAGTTACTGTAAGAAATTACTTTTCAGTTGATCTCCACTGGCACAGAAAGCAAAGAAGGAAACTAGGTTCAATTAGACAATACCAACTGACTCGAAATTCCCAAAGATAACAAGGGAGTCGCTTGCTTCTAATCATCTCCTGCATCTCTCTGTCTCCCAGCAGGAGAGCACCTTAGGCTCTAAGCACAGTAGAGAGAGGCAACTGGCGACAGTGTATTTGGGTAAGCAATACTAAAAGACCTAGTTTATGGGTTTTACTTATTTTGCCAGCTGTTTACCAGTGTCCTCCTGGTCAGGATGGGAGGGAGGAAAGATAAACACCTTTGTCGTGAATATCCTCCAAACTCCTGTACTTTACAAAGTCATAGGAGGCGAGGGAAGATATCAAAATGCTGCCAACAGTCCACTCTATTCGTAACTATATAAAATTAATACAATACTTTAATTAATTTGTTCTTAAAAGGTGAACAACTATGAGTCAGGTACCAATAGCTCAAGCCTGGAATCCTAGCTACTCAGGAGGCTGAGATCTGAGGATCACGGTTCAAAGCCAGCCTAGGCAAGAAAGTCTGTTAAGACTCCTATGTCTAATTAATGGCCAAAAAACCATTGTGGCTCCAGTGGTACAGTGCTAGCCTTGAGCAAAATAATAAAATAAAAAAGTTCAGTGACACCACTCAGGCCCTCAGTTCAAATCTCAGGACCAGCCAAACAGAATAAAAAATAAATGCTTAACAACTATAGATTATTTGGTATTGTTTACATTTGTTAAAGGAACAAAATATGAACAAAAATCTATCATTTTGAAAGTTGCTATCTTTGGGTAATGCAATTCATTTGAGATAAAACCTCAAAAAGCCTTTGCAAGGTTATCAATAACAAATTATGGGCAAGTCAGTAAAGAGACCAACGATTAAGAAAGACCCAGATCCCTGAAGAAAGCATTTACTCAGCAAATACTAATAAGGCGATTATTCAGTGCCAGACACAATTCTTCTACTGAGAAAGATTGTGTGTGTGTGTGTGTGTTGTCCTTGTACTGGGATTTAATTCACTGGTACCTAAAACCAGACTACAGGAAAGCCAAAGTAAGCAGAGGTGTCAGCATGTCTGCAATCCCAATACTTGGGAGGCAGAGACAGGAGGATTGCTTGTCCAAGGCCAGTCTAGGCTTCACAGTGATATCCTCTATTTAGAAGAAAAAAAAAGAAAAGCCAAAATAGCCACAGTTGTCCACATTTTCCTTTCCCTATATCACATTTTACTTATGTAAGTAATCTTAGTTCATTTGTGAAGGCTTGAAGGTATACAAAGCACTTCTTCATGGCCAAATACCATAAGATCTTTAATTAGCTAACTTTATAGATTGCTAAGTATCTTCTTAGTGACAGTATGAGGGAGGTAGTGGAAATGATAATTAAAAATAACCACAATTCCAATTTTATAGGACATCAGCTATGAACACTGAGCAAAATCATAGGTCCTCATAGCTGGAGAAGCTATGAGTCAGAAGGACAGAGGATAGGGGATATAATTCTCTACTGTATCTTTAAAATAGGAGGTTTTGTTTGTTGGCTTTTTGGCAGTACTAGGTTTTGAATTCAGGGCTTCATGCTTGCTACGTTGGCACTCTACCACACTTTTGGCCCTGTTGCTTACTGGTTCTTTTTAGGATAGTGTCTCACGTCCTAACTGGGTGTGCACCTGGACTTCAATTCTTCTACTTTAGGTTTCCCATCAGTGGTAGGATCACAGGCACAAGCCACAGTGTCCAGGCTCTCTTTGTGGAGATGGAGTACTGTGACTTTTCTTTCAGGGCTGGCCTGGAACCTTAGTAACCCTGATCTCAGTCTCTCAGGTAACTTGAGATGACAGGAGTATGCCATCCAGCTATAGACTAAGGAATTTCTCAAGCTTTTCTGCTTCAAAAACTTTTGGCCTGGAAGTGGTGCTGTGGCTCAAGTGGTAGAGCACTCACCTTGAGCTGAAGAGTTCAGGGACAGTGCCCAGGCCCAGAGTTCAAGCCCCATGATCGACAAAACAAAACAAAACAAAACTTGGCCTTAAATTGCTGTCCTCTGAGCTCAGCCTTCCAAGTAGCTAGGATTAAAGATATGAGCCATTGGTGTCCAGATAAAATACAGTTTTAAAAACTATTCTAACTCAATACAGTAAGGAATTGACAAAGAAAATAGGTTATTTGTTCAAACACTAAATTTTACTATAGAATATTGACATTATTTACACATTATCATTTTTCCCATTTCTACCTAATGAATCCAAACATGTTAATTCTTTAAAGACTAATTACTTTAGAAGTTCATTCTTCAGTCTTTGGTCATAGCTCTCTTCAATGCTCTTTATATTTTCCTCCCTTTTCTTAAGAGCCTCAGTCACATTTTTATTTTTTTCCTCCTGGAGCTTTTGCTTCCTGAAATTAATAAAGAATATAAAAAGCAAACAATATGTAATAGCTGAGGCAACAAATGTAGGGAGAAAAACAATATACAGTTCACCAAACTAAAGCTATTATGTTACCATTACCATGAGAAGTGAAAAGGAAAAGAGCCAGAAGACTTCCCTATAGTTTACAAAATCACCAAGTGAGAACTAGAGAGCGCACTAGATAAAAATGTGTCATAGGTGATAAATGGCCAATGTATCAAGTTAGGGGTAGAAGAATAATATTATGAGCTACAAAGTTATAAACAAGTTATGTAATTTACTGAGGTGCTTGTCTCTTCTATAATGTTGTTGCTAACTGTGGAATCTAATCCATTCGTTAATTTTTTTTAAATGGAAGATTTGTTTTTATTATTTAAAATCTATTCATTTAAACTTAACAGTGCTGAGAGAATGGAAGAAAGATGGATTGTGGGTAATCCCAGCTACTCCAGAGGCAGAGATCAAAGGGGACTGTAGTTCAAGGCTGGAGAGTCTTCTCCTCACTATCTATTTACTTAACAGGGTCTTACAGTGAGAGATTATTTGTGTGTTGGTTATGCATCTTAAACTTGGAACTTGGGTGATGTCCCCGAGCTCTTTGCTCATGGCTAATGCTCTACCACTTAAGCCACAGCTCCACTTATAGCTTTCTGTGGTTAATTAGAGATAAAAGTCTCACAGATTTTTCCTATCTGGACTGGTTTGAAGCACAATCCTCAGATCTCAGCTTCCTGAGTGGCAAAGAGGATTACAGGCATGAGCCACTGCTGCCTGGGTATAGGGAGACTTCAAATCAGTAGTAATGGCAATTTATGAGCAAAGTCTAGGGATGGGTTTTGTTCACAGCTGCTGCTGAGATTAAGCCACGAAGAAAAGCAGTGTGTATTGACTCCCTCTGCTGGCTAATCTGAAAAGGCCTGAAGCAGTAAACTACATTTATTTCACTTTAATGTTCAGAAAGGAAAAAGACTAGAGTAATTATAAAATCATGAAGTCTTCGCCAAAATTTTGTTCTTTTCTTGCTTTCTCTTTATCAGTACCTTGTCAGTACTTTCCAAAAAGAAAGGTAGAGAGAAGAAGTCAGAAAAATTGAGCCTATAGAAGAAAATCACAGAAATAAAGATGGAGATAATTTCTTTAACGTCCCAAGATTCCTGGAGTATCTATGAGTAGTGTTCATTAGGAACAGATTCCAAATAAGAAATCTTACTGTACACACTATAGACAAATGTCCTTGCCATTAATCCCAGATAACATTTGAAGGATGCAACATGTGAACACTTAGAAAACACAATTAGCATCCACTATGAAAAATAAGTTCACCCAGTACAAGTCAGAAAGTTTTTTTGAGTTGTAGAGCAGAAAAAAAACAACAGGCCAAGATATCTGGAATTCAGTTACATACACAAAACTATCAGGTTTGAATGACTGAAGATAACTGCAAAATATATGACCCATTCAAATCTTCTTATCTTCTCCAATTCTGGTTTTCACTTAAAGTCTAATATTTTACAAGCAAAACCCTAGTCTTTGTTTCTCCTAACTTATACCTTCCAAAGCTAAGGGATATCACCTTTTCAACTAAAAAACTGTACTTGACAATCAGCACTAGAATTAATTTAGACATATACTTAAATAAATCCTTTTCATCTCATTCTGAACAACCCAAACGAAAACACTGCAGTACTTACAATTCAAAAGTATCAATTCTTTGCTTCAGCTCCATTTCTCTGCCCCTTAGTGATTCGATATCTTTTAATAGAAGCTGCCTTTGAGCATAAATTTCTTTTGTTTCACTCTGCATAGGAAAGCATTAATTTTAGTAAGCAAGCAAAATAATATAAAATAAAATGGAACTCATACATAGCGTTCTAAATTCCTGAAAAAACAAAGAAAGTATGGACATTTAGGGCGACCAATAAAATCTCCAAAAGATTTCACTTCAAGGTTTGCTTTTTGCTATTTTGGTTATATACACACACACACACACACACACACACACACACAATTAGTCTCCCATTGCTAAACAACAGTATTCCACATTCCTAAGAATCTTTGTCTAACCAGCTATCCAAAATCATAAGATCATCAAGATGACTAGTGGTGGTGGTAACTGAATTTTTCAGTTCATGGGTCATTCTGGCTCAATGATAGGAAGCTCATATGAACTGCTGAATGAATTGGCCATGCTTCCATTTAGAAACTCAGTGAGTGAGATGTAGAAGACACTATATTGAAAACAAACTACAAATTTGTGGTTGAGGGGGTGTAGAGGGTGGAGTTGTGGAGGTGGGGAGGGAAAGGAAGGTAGGGGAAAAACAAAGGAGGGGGTAACAATGCTCGATAGGAAATGGACTCATTACCTTGCTCGTGTAACTGTAACCTCTCTGTACAGCATTTTTACAATAAAAAATATATATTAAAAAAAGAAACTCAATGAGCAAGGATTTGCTAGCTTCTTATCATATGTCAAACAGTAACCGGAGAGCTAGATATAAAAAAGCAGACAGATAATGTCCCCATCTTGAAGGCTCTTACAATTTTATCAGAGAGAGAGAAAAAAAAACAAGTAATCACACCAGGATATAATTATATCATTAAATGAAGGACATAAAGACTGATTCAAGAAAAAAAAACCTGTCTGGGTGCTGGTGGCTCATGCCTGTAACCCTAGCTACTCAGGAGGCTGAGATCTGAGGATTCCAGTTTGAAGCTAGCTCAGGTAGACAAATCTGGGAGACTCTTATCACCAATTGACCAGCAGAAAAGCTGGAAGTGGAAGCTTAAGTGGTAGAGCACCATCCTTGAGCAAAAAAGCTAAGAGTACAAGCCCCAAGTTCAAGCCTCAGTACCAATACCATATGAAAACAAAAACAAGGAACAAGGGGTCAAGGAAGACCTCACTGAGGCGAGATAGTGAAATTCTAGCAGTCTGTGGAGTACAGTACAGTCTTATTGAAGAAAGTGGACGGGTATCCCAAGTGGAGGAATAAAGGCATGGTGCTTAGGATAACCATGAACACTTTCGGATAACAGTAAATGGGGATTTAGTCAGCCACTTGATGAAGTTGTTAGTCTAAACATAATCCAATTATCTTAAAGATCTCTGCTTCCAAAAATCTACTTTTATAGCCTAAATATGCCCAATATCTAGAAACACTGTACAACATTATAGATGGGGTCCATTTCATGTTAAATAACAAGGTCTTAATTGGGAATTCTCTTCTTTTCCAAGTTTCTTGACAATAGCAGCTGGCTGCAAGTTGGAAATGATTGCAAAACCAGTTTGGTCTGAGACAACCTGCCTTAAGAGAGGACCAGGATTTCCTGAAGAGCACAGCAATCTATCCTGCTGATCCATACTCCCTGCCACTTTTCCATTTCTCCTTCTCCTGGACAGCCATTTTCCTGGGTGATGAGACCAAAGGGCTATGTGGATGAGCCTCTCATCCCGGGACTCCTCTACTCTCACAGACCTTCACCTTCACCCCCTCCGTGGCTCCTTGGAATAGATGCATACTGTACTGCATCTGCTCTCATCTGGAACTCTCAGCCAGCTATGTTGAGCTCTTGGTCTGTCCTTACTCTTCCACTTGCCAGTCTATTAGGACCTATTCCTGGGTCACTTTGAGGCTGTTATGTGGCCCTCAATTTCCCCCAGATAAGGAGCCACTCATTCTCTCGTCTGGCTGCCTTCACTAATCACAGGCAGCTTTGTTCAAGTCAGTTGAATTCCGCTCTGTTCCCCAAAGCACCTTTCCCTTTTGACCTTTGCTAAAAGGGAAGGGGAAAAGGTGCTTATAACTTACAAATTTTCCTGCGAGTTAGATGAGAAACTTCACCTCCAAACACATGGTTTGCTCTCTTACTGTGAGCCTGTTTTTGCTAGAATCTCAATTCCACTCATCTGTCCTCTCTGCTTTAACTGTCCGCTTTCCTCTCTCCCAAGGAGTGGTACCCTATCTCTGAGCTTCAACTCAAACCCTTATCGATATTCCCAATCTGCCTGAAAGAATGGAGCTTATTTAGTGCATATATTGCTTCCTCTCAGTAGGGCCATTCACCCTACAAGTCTTTCCTTTCCACCATCTCAGAGGAAAATGTCTGCATTGCCTTATTAGGGCTCATGATTCTCTACATGTTGGGTGCCGGTTTTCACTGTTCTCCTACATACAGCCTTGCTCCCACCTGTGTCTGGACCTTAAACCAACATAACAACAGCTTCAGGGAACTGATGGCCTGGAAATTTATTTTCAAATATTACCTCTTGATGTTTCTGAATTCTTTCAAGAGAATTCTTTTCCTGAGAAATAAGTGCTTCGCTTTTTGCTTGGTAAGTTTTCTCAAATTCATTCCGGTATACAGCTAATTCTCTCTCGTATTTTCTTTTCTCTTCTATTTTCATTTTTGTTATTTCAGTATCTTTAATATACTTCAACTGAAAATGAATCACAAACAATTGAAAATACAGTACAAATAAATAGCAACAGACTCTCTTGATGGATAAGTTTAATATTAATGCTGTCTAAATGTAGTATATTTATTTTTTTATTTTTTTGTTGGTCGTAGGGCTTGAACTCTGGCCTGGGCACTGTCCCTGAGTTCTTAAGCTCAAAGCAAGCACTCTACCACTTGAGCCACAGTTTCACTTTTGGTTTTCTGGTGGTTTACTGGAGAAAACAGTCTCACAGATTTTCCTGCATGGGCTGGCTTTGAACCGTGATCCTCAGATCTCGGCCTCCTGAGTAGCTAGGATTACAGGCATAAGCCACTGGTGCCCAGCAACATCTTTAATTTAACACAATTTTTAGTGTTAACCCATCCACCGTATGTTTAGGATTCAATCCAATTGAAATCAATTGGAAATAAAAATATGTGTAGCCATATAGTATTCTATTCTTTAATAAAAGGTCATAGGTTGGGTGATAATGGCTCATGCCTATAATCCTGGCTACTCAGGGGGCTGAGCCGTTCAAAGCAAGCCAGACAGAAAAGTTCATGATTCTCATATCTTTAATCAATCACCAAAAAAATCAGAAGTGGAGCACTGGCTCAAAGTGATAGACTACCAGCCTTGAGCAAAAGGGCTCAGGGATGGTGTTCAGGCCCTGAGTTCAAGCCCCACAACTGACAAAGAAAAGGTTCTAGATGTTTTCTCACATAATAGAAAATTAAGATATTAGAATACAAGTAAAATTATCATTTTCATTAAAATCTACAAAAGATACAACTTACCTTCTGACACATTTCTTTATGAAGCTGATGTTGTATTTCTTTCTTATATTCATTTAATTTTTTCTCTAAAGACTCTAGCTTTGCACGTTGAGGATAAGCATCTGCAAATTGGTCATCGATATGTTGAAGCTTTTCAGCTAGCAAAAAATAACATAAAATTAGGATATAGAAACTCATTCAGATGTGCAAGAGATCAAAAACAGAGAATATACTATGAGGAAAGTATAGGGGTATTTGCCATTTACTTTGAAATATATTAAAAAATGAGACGGATTAATGGATTGACAGCTAAATGATAGAGTAGGTATGACATCAATTTCATGGTGAGTCTAACACTGCAAAACAACTTTAACTTTAGTGCCTATCTGAAAATATTGATAATAAATGTCGTGTTGGGGAGGTAGCAATAAGTATGGTTTAAATCTCAGAAATTATTGGATTCTGTTCTCAGTTTCTAAGTGCCAAGACACTAAATGGACTTTTTTCTTTTCTTTTTTCGCTAGTACTGGGACGCTAACACAGCCTCGGTGCTGTTCTCTAGCTTTTTTTGCTCAAGGTTGATACTCTACCACTTGAGCCTACTTCTTGATTTTTTGGTGGCTAACTGGACTTCCCTGTATGGGCTGAGTTTGAATTGTGATTCTCAGATCTCGCCTCCTGAGTAGCAAGGATTACAGGAGTGAGTCACTGGCACCCAGCTACTAAATAGACTGTGATTAAAGTTGGCATACACATCCAAAGTAATGACTTAAAAGAACCACAGACCATATATTTTAATCCCTCTAGATAAGGAATAAATGCCCATATGGGTGGTAAAGTGACTTCTAAAAGGGTAAGTAACTATAGCATATCTACGCCTAAAATAAGGCCTGTGATTCTCTCATGGCAGTTCTCCTTCCAGGAGGCCTATAGCCCTCAAACCAACTATGGAGTCGAATCTGCCAAAGAACTCATTGCAAACCTGAAAACAGAGTACGCCCCCAACCATGTATGATACTACCACAACCAGAAAAGAATGAACAGGTGGGAAGAAGTAGAATAAAATAATGATAGTGTTTGTCTATGGTAGTTGTTAATTTAGACCTGTTTCCCAGCTACTTTCCTGCATTTGCCAAAGGATTTATAATTGCAGTCTAAAACAAGACTTTTTGGCCAATGGGGCCCTCTGAGTACTTGAAATGGAACGCTTCTGAACTGAGAAATACACTAAATATAAAGAACATACCAGATTTCAACGAATTAGTACAAAAATAATTATAAAATGTCTATTTTTTTTTCAGTAGTGGGGCTTGAACTCTGGGCCTGGGCACTGTCCCTCAGCTCTTCAGCTCAAGGCTAGCACTCTACCACTTGAGCTACAGTGCCACTTTCGATTTTCTGGTGGTTTTATTGGAGATAAGAGTTTCATGGACTTTCCTGCCCGGGCTGGCTTTGAATCATGATCCTCAGATCTCAGCCTCCTGAGTAGCTAAGATTACAGGTGTGAGCCACAGGTGCCCGGCAATGTCTAGTATTTTTAATTGAGTATATGGTGAAATATTAATGTATTTTGTTAAATAAAATAAAATACATTATTAAAAGAAATGTCATCTGTTTCTATTTACCATTTCTAAATTTTAAAATGACATCTGTGGCTTGCATTATTACCCAGCTCTGTTTTACAGTATACATGTAATATAACTCTCATGGACTTTAAAACTACATTTAAAAGGCCTAGTTATTCAATATAGATTTTACAAATTACAAGCCATAGGAGCTAGTATTATTTAAGAGTAAGAGTGGACTGGGAAGTTGATTAAAAACATCAGCTAGGAATTGTTTTCCATTTCTGTTAAGGATAAAAAAATTAAAGGGAAGGATAGTATTATAGGTAGACTATGTAATAGAAAAAACTCTAGATCAGGCAGATATAAAAAGTTCTAGATCATGAGCCGGAGGAGATCCAGGACTCTAACATTAGTTCTCACTCAGGCTGTATATTTCCAAGTTGTTCTTTCCCCTGAGGACCTCAATTTATTCAAGCATAAAGTGAAATGATAAGCCAATGGCTTCTCTAGCTCTTCACAAAGCAAACAGTCTATGAGGTTGTAACTTAATGTTCACTGTAAAATGGACACGATGAGAGAGATTAAACCCAACAAATGAGGAAGAATGTACTCCTTGGGATCCCTGAATGGTTTGCTCAATGTGACTACGGCATTCGTGAGGACAGGGATGACAATGAAGAGCAATTCCTGCTCTTTTTCAGCAATATCATTCTAGAAGAAATTAACTTTTTGTCACCTATAGATTGTTATCTCTGCACTTTAAAGATAATAAATAAGGTCATATCCTTCATTCAAAAAAAGAAAACCACAGAACTGCAATTACTACAGAAGGCTTAATTACCAAGAGAATCTTTGGTAAGAAATGTTGAACTTGTCTGCGTTTCCACATCACAAATCTCTTTAGCTTGATGAAATTCTGCCAATTCTCTTAAGAAATTCATTAAGAAACCTAGAAAACACAATGTATAGCTTGGTTTTAGAAATTTGTCCAACCATTGCTCAGTCATTCTTCATGAATTTTGGTTTTCTTATATGAGTTTATCTTTTACGAATGATTACCATATGAAGTGTGGTTCTACTTATCAAGTAATGTTATGGTCAGCAAAGAAAAATGATTTAAGTTAAATTTCCTACTCATCCCCCTAAAAATTATAAGCTTCGTATTTTATGTTCAAAACGCACATACAGCTAAGTGCTGGTGGCTCACACTTATAATCCTCACTATTCAGGAGGCTGAGATCTGAGGCTCTCAGTTTGAAGCCAGCCCTGGCAGGAAAGTCCAGGAGACTCTTCTCTCCAATTAATCACCAGAAAACCAAAAGTGGAGCTGTGGCTCAAGGTAGTACAGTGCAAGCCTTGACTGAAAAAACTCAGGGTCAGGGTGAGGCCCCTCAGTTCAAGCCCCATGACTGACAAAACAAAGTACATACAAAAATCTTACTAATTTTTAGAAAGGTGAAAGCTTTTACCTTTTTGGTTTTCTTTATCAAATGTTGAAATCTGTCAAGAGAAAATATTTTATCTTTATTAAACTATTCAGTTGTAAGTAACAAAACAAAGAAGGGTATAAAAACTAAACAATCATACCAGTGATTTGTAGAGACTGGAATTAGGGCTGATTTTAATGAGTTGTAACAAATCATGCATAGTAAATACCTTAAAGGAGAAAAACAGATTAAGTTGTCATACTTTTATATCAACATTTAAATGATACGTTAGGATATGATTCTGCATGAGATTAAAACTATGCTAATAAAATGGAATCAAAGCCTTTTTTAAACTGTTAAATAAACTGTAGCAAACGCATTGAAGTGAAAAGAATAAAATATTTTTTAACCCTGCAATTAACTTCCAAATACTTTAGAGCAAACATGGTATGCTTAATGTCATATCATTAATGTACCAGAAATAATAGGAACGGTTAATGCTTTACAGATGACACTCAAAGAACCAATGGATATGAGTTGATTTCAAGGTCATCAAATTATATTTTAAAAATATAAGTAAACTAAAATTTTACTATCCTTACTACCATGAATGACTAAAGTGTACCTAAAACATTTTTTTGCCAGTCCTGGGGCTTGAACTCAGGGCCTGGCTACTGTCCCTGAACTCTTTTTGATCAAGACTGGCACTCTACTAGTTGAGCCCCACCTTCCTTTCCAGCTTTTTCTGTTTATATGGTACTGAGGAATTGAACCCAGGGCTTTAGGCATGCTTGGCAAGCACGCTACCACTAAGCCACATTCTCAGCTTAACATTTTGAAACACTTTGGGGTTTTATTGTCGTTGTTTTGTGGCACTGAGGACTGAACTCAGGGCCTTGTGCTCTGTTGGCTGGCACTCTACCACTTGAGCCATACCTCCAGCCTATTTGTACATGACATGATTCATTTTCAAGACAGGTTCTCATTTGTGCATGAACCTTCTTGGATTTTAATCCTACTGGTTCTGGGTATGACAGCACCCAGCCACTGTGCTTCCTTATACTTGGGATAAGAGGTACGTACCATTTCACTCACTCACCGCAGTTTGAGATGGAGTCTTAAAAATTACTTTTTCCTGGGCTGGCCTCAAACTATAAACCCCCACTCTGTCTCCAAGTACGATTCTGGTTTTTGAGGGTACTGGAGATTTGCTAAGTTCTTGCTAAGTTAACACTTTATATTTGAGCTAAAAAGGAATCCTCAATGTTATAAATTTAGTCCTAAATGAAAAAAATATAGCATATTTAATTTTCAAGATTTCATTTAAATACTAGCATTATTCTTATTTCCTTAAAATGTTTGGAATTTATAGACAGTGAAAATGCAGGTGACCCTGTTCATCGAGAGTGAATATTAGTGTAACATATGAACCAAGAGTGATAATGATGTCAATATAACTTCACTGATTGTAGCAAATGTACCAGGCTTCATAAAGGGGGAAAGGATATGATAACTGTATTTTCCACTCAGTTCTGCTGCAAGCCTGAAATGGCTTCTAAAAATTAATTCTTCAAACAGACACACATACTGGAGGAAAAAAAATTGCTACAAAAATTTTGCCTTTAGGGGGCTGGGAAGGTAGCTCACTGGTAGAGCGCTTGCCTTGCATGCCTGAGGCCCTGGGTTCCATTCCTCAGCACCACATAAGCAAAAAGAAAAAAGCCGGAAGTGGTTCTGTGGCTCAAGTGGTAGAGCGCTAGCCTTGAGCTGAAGAGCTCAGGGACAGCGCCCAGGCCCAGAGATCAAGCCCCACGACTGGACCCCCCCCCAAAAAAATTTGCCTTTAAAATAGGGCTGGGGAATGTCTCAGAGTTCCTGCCTAGAAAATGTTGAGGCCTGACTTCAAACCCCAGTACCACACATTAAAAAAAAAGAAAAACTAAGAAACCAGTGCTATTAAAAGTGTGACTAATACATTCAATGGTGATGCAAATAGCATTTAAATCATTAGAAAAGTGAAAAATAGCTGGGCACTGGCGGCGCAGGCCTGTAATCCCAATTACTCAGGAGGATGAGATCTGAGGATTGCAGTTCAAAGCCAGTCCCAGCAGAAAAACCTCTGAAACTCTAATCCCCAATTAACCACCCAGAGGCTAGAAATGGAACTGTGGCTCAAGTGGTAGAAAACCAGTCTTGAGTGAAAAAGCTACATGACAACACCCAGGCCCTGAGTTGAAGCCCCAGTTCTGACACCAAAAAATGTGAAAAATACAAGATAGGGGTTTTAATATTTGATAATTTTACATTTTCATTTCTTAATTTTTTTATTTTTTGGTCCAGTTGTGGGGCCTGAACTCTGGGCCTGGGCACTGTCCCTCAGCTCTTCAGATCAAGGCTAGTGCTCTACCACTTGAGCCACAGAACCACTTCCGGCTTTTTTCTTATGTGGTGCTGAGGAATCGAACCCAGGGCCTCAGGCATGCAAGGCAAGCGCTCTACCACTGAGCCACCTTCCCAGCCCTAATTTTACATTTTTAAAACTCATGCATTACTCATTTCTCTTTTACAAAGAAGAGAAATACCTGAAGAGACTGTAGCATAGTGAAAAGAATATACTTTAGGAATCTATATTTACTGTGTTGCAACTTAGAATTTACATGACTGCTTAAATCACTCCATCTCTCGAGTCTGAGTCATCCTTTGTAACACATACCACACTTACACTGGTGCCTGGCACAGAGCCAAGTTCACAGGGGACACTCAACAGAAACGGCAGTTTGGAATCTAGTTCAACTATACTACATGTTAGACCAGTAACTCCAAAGCATTCAGTGATTGTAACATCACTGCTTTAGGAAAGAGGAAACGAAGAGCTGAAACATTAATGACATTCAATTTTTCATGTAACAAATATATGAAGGTAAGATGCAATTTCAAAGCAACAAAAATGAACCTACCTACAAAAAAACTTAGCTCAAGTGTACAGAATGTGATAATTATCAGAGGAAGAAACTGATAGTACAAGTTCAAACATGGAAAGACTTTACCTTTTCTTTTGACAAACCGCTTTCCGGAAAGAAAACAGAAAGTGAATATTCATAGCCACATCTCTGTAAGTGATCTGCTATTATAGCGTTGGAAGCACCTACTAAGAGGGCGCTGCCTTCCACTGATATGGATTGAGGCTTCAGTTCTCCACTCAACACAGGATGTACCAATTCCTGAATTAGCTGGTTTCTGAGTTGTGTCTACAAAGACAGGAACAAAAAATAATCAGGACTGTTTCACTGGAAATATACACAGGTTTGTCACGTTTATTTCCAAAATTGTTCCAGACCCATGTCCACAAGTTAAGAGCCATTCCCCACACAATTGTTCCCCAACTACCAAGTAATCTAGTGGTCAGCAAGGCACCTTGGAGATTCAATTTCTGTTTCCTAGGGCTCATTTCAGACACTTGGTATTGAGATATGAATTAAAGATAATTTTGTTATTTTATCACACCTCTGTGGAATGTTTGAAGCTATGAAAAGAACATTGAGTCAATCCAATATATTGGGCATACCGATTACAGTAAAACTGGGTTCCTAAAAGAAATAATGCATGCAGGAAATTAGTGAGCCCAAAGAAGTCTAAGAATGCACTTTCACATAGAGTGTATTTACATTTAAGCCACTGTGACGCCTATTAATTTTCTCACAAATCATAAATGAGGACATCTAGTATATTATTTTCTCAAAGTTACAACAAAAGCATCATTAGTTGATTTGATTTTAAGAAAATCCTCTACTCAGGCAACTGGATGTTTAAATCTATTTTGTATATAGTTCTGACATACACAACTGAGCTGAGTATATTAGTAAATTGTTTAGATTCATGAGGATTAGCAGGAAATAATATATACGTATATTAATGCAACACAAGCAAGCAACAAACATAGATCTTATTTTGCTCCTTTTTTATATCCTTTACACTAGAATGGTATATAATTACCAGGATAGAATGGGACTTACTATACACCTGAAATTCTATATATTTTTATTTTCTTTATTGTTATTATAAAGGTGATGTATGAGAGGAATTACAGTTATATAAGTCAGGTAACAACATTGCTTTTTGTCCATTCTATATTTAAAATGGATAAGTACAATTAATAAAATATACAAGCTCAGCGTTATCTAAAACAATTAACTAACTGAAATAATAAAGCAAAACAAAAGAGTACAGTATCCTACACAAGAAAATTTAGGAGTAGTTTAATTACATTTATAACATACAGAGGAAGTGGTACATTAAGACCCAATTTAATTAATAAACTGATTTAGGGTGTCTTAAATACAGATAAAACATAAGCTGAATGAAAGGAAAATTAGAGTAGAAAAAAATGAATTACATATGAGAATTTCCCCTTTTTTTTTTTCCTGTCGATCGTGGGGCCTGAACTCTGGCCTGGGCACTGTCCCTCAGCTCTTCAGCTCAAGGCTAGTGCTCTACCACTTGATCCACAGCGCCACTGCCAGCTCTTTCTGCTTATGTGGTGCTGAGGAATAGAACCCAGGGCCTCATGCATGCAAGGCAAGTACTCTACCACTAAGCCACCTTCCCAGCCCCAGATGATTTCCCATTTTTATGAACACAAAATGCATGTCATTTTAGTGCTTATAGGAATCACAAAACTGGACCTTCTCAGTAGCCAACACAAGAAGAAAAGGCTATTCAGAATTAAATTTTGCAATGTCTCTTAAATAAAAAGCATGAAAGAAGGGCATTTACTATGATGGTAGGAAGGAGTGTGAGAGAAGATACTTTGGAAATACTCAACACATATCTCAGAAGTTAATTTGAAATTAATTAGAAATTAAGTTCTACTTAATCTTCTGTGCCAGTTATTAAAATGCGAATATAAAAATTAGCTCATTGTGAGAAGGTAAAAATTGTGGGGAAAAATAATCTGCCCCCCCTAAAAAAATAATCTGTCCTTGGAGAACTAGTAAATGAAGACAAATAGTAAATAAAGTAAAAATAAAGAAAAAGTAAAAAAATCTATCCTGTCATTGATCAAGTTGGAGTAATAGAAACTGAATAGCTAGTCATGCCACAGCTGTAAAGTGAACAAGGCCAAAGATAGATAATGGGGAAAAAATATATGACAGCAGATATGAAGTAAAGCACTAAAAGTGTGGGGAAGAGAGTGGGAAAACTTAGACTTTAATTTCCCATATTAAACGTAAAATACACTTTTTAATGCATATTGTAAATACATTAAACTAATCCTATTCCTTGCTGTTACTGCAAATATAAAATGTACTAACACATATGCACTGTAATATGCGATATTCATGGATTCCAAAACTTTTTTTTTAATTCATCCTTAAATTGTTCCACAGTGAGTAATACATTTAGGGCTTCCCATACAGTGTCAATGTGCTTTGTCATCCAAATACACTGCAGAAGTATTTATCAAATCGGGAACCTGTAACAGATTTATATAACAAGTGCAATCTGATTCAAATGTGTTCATTACATGCTATTTGCTCCTGTCTTAATGGTATCCCAATAAATCTAATATTTGTATATGCTCTTTTGTCTCAAGCTCAATATTATTTATACAAAATATTTTCTATAATTTTTATTACAGACTTAAATTAATTTTATATAAAAATGTAATTCCATGCTCTATATAACTCTTAAAAAAAAACCAAGGACAGAATGAATTTAAATGTGGGCTACGTGTTACAGGTTTTACAGGTAACACTTGTAAAAGTTACGGCACAGACATGCCTAAATCTGATACCTTAAGTGTGTCCAGTAAACCTCGATCCTTAAACGTCTGGTACAGCTTTTTGCGCAGTTCATCTTGACTCAATACATCAGACTTGTGGGGCATGCTGGACTGGAAGAGAAAATGGTTACGAGTTACCTGGCCGGCACAGGGGGAGGTGAATTTCTGAAAACAGGCCTGACGTCTCCCGGGAAACCCCAAGATGCCTAGCTTTAACGACTACAAACAAGGATCCTCATTTCTGCCTGTCCCTGCTAGGTGACAATGTAGCTACCTGAGCCATCTGTCGGTATCTGCTTCCTCCTGAGCCCGCCCAACCGTAATCAAGAGTTTAAGGTTCGGGTCGGGGCGCAGGGTCGGGACGGAAGCCCCTCCCCGAGTCCTGCTTCTTAGCTCAGTGAGTTGGGAGAAACCAGAATTGGATGCTCTGCCTAGGAATCGGAACTAGAATTTTGGTAAACACGCACACTTCCTCTCTGCGCCGAGCCGCGACACCCAAGAGACTTCCCAATGCAGCAGGAAGGCGGAGACTGAGAAGAGGAGTGGGGATCGGCCTCCCACTTTGGACCCCGCGTTTCCAGGGCTCTGATCTTATCCAGCCCCTCCCCTGGGCGCAGTAGCCCCACCCTCCATTGTGAGGAGGGCGATGGCGCAGGCGCCCAACCGCCCCCAGGAAACTCAGAAACCCCGCCTATGTCTCGCGAGAACACAGCGCGGGCTCTCGCGCGGTCTACTCCAGCATTCTGGGCTGAAACAGTGGAGCGCGGGTCTTTGTCGCGTGTACTGGGCGGTTCTGCGGCCGGCGTTCCACTTCAGGTAGGGGCTGGAACGTGATGGGGGAGGGGGAGGGGACGGTCTCTCCGGATGCTTGGGGGACGTCCTAGGCCCGGCGTGACGCGGTTGTTGGCCGAGCACCTGTACTCTTCCTCGGCCGGATCAGCCCCGCGGGTCCCCAGTCGGCTGACTCAATCACTGGCTCACCTCGCCAATCCACCCTTGCATTTGAACTTGGACACCTCGCCCGCCCTCTCGGAGGCTTGGTGTTTGCTATGATCGTTTAACTGAGTGTTCCTTACCGCGGTGCGATTGCCACTTGGAGCCAACACCTGTGTTTGAAATGCAGTCAGGTGCATGGTAGGGAAAGGTTGAGCGCATCCTTGGTCTGCACGTAATAAATACCAGCAGCGCTGCGCCGCCGCGTGCACGTGGAAAACCCAAAAATGTATCCAGACATTGCCTGATGTCCTCTGGGAAGCAAAAATCGCACCCGGTTGAGGACCTCATGCCTAAATTTTATAGCTCCGTCGTGTGCCGTGACAAAGATAACAGATGAAGCAAAGGGCCCAAGATGCATACATCTAATTACAAAAGGAACGAAATGACTCAGAAGCTGTATTGAAAACATTGCCGGCAGAGAATTGAGAAATAGCTATCTATGGTAGAGACAGGCGATTGAAGGTACAAATGGTGGAGGACATAAGCTGTGGGAAAGTGCCTTACGATTTGGATGGGGAGTGAAAAATAAAGCATTTTAGGGAAACAGAGCAAAAGAATACAGAAGTCAGGAACCGCGTGAGGAACTTCTGTCCTGGATACAGGGTATCTAAGTCCTGAAGGAACAAAACTGAATCAAGGTCAGCTTTGTGCTTAGCATTGGAGTACATTAAGTTTTGATCTCTTGCTATGGAAAAAAGTTTCAAAATTTAAAAGACAGTGAGAGGAATAGACTTCATAGGAGGTTAAAAAAACTCAGGCGTTTGTTGGAAATAATTGTGGAAGAGGCACTTAGACATTAAATGGATAAAAGTTAAACACAGAATCAGAAAAGACTCCAAGCTGGAAGAAAGAATATTAATTTTGGAGTAGAAGTGATCAAAAAGACTTTGGGAGAAAAAAAATACATATATAGACCAGTCAGTTCTAACAGAGATGAGTAATAAAATCCAGAAATGACATGAGAGTCTTTTCAGAATACTAGTACACCATCCTGTAGCTAAGAGTGGAGTAATGATGAAACAGTTTCAAAAAGATATTACATTGTAAATGCCCTTAATAAAACATCAGTACTTGAAGACACACTCTATCCCAAACATACCTTTAGTACTAAAGTTGCATAGTTAGGTAAGATGCTCTCCCCAAAGCACTTGAGGGAGGGGACATTGCTCATAATATTAACAGGAAATTTTGCTATTACAGACCTATCAAAAATATTCATACAGTTTCTCATTGCAATAGACATGCCCTGTGCCACACCAGGCCCCAGTCTATGAAACAACTGAAATCACTGCTGTCTAGGCATAGACAGCTCCTTTATAGAGTCTGTTTTTATTTCTTTTTAGTTGTTTATTTTTGTCGGTTGTGAGGCTTGAACTCGGGGCCTGAGTGCTTTCCCTGAGCTATTCAGCTCAAGGTGAGTACACAGCACCACTTCCAATTTTCTGGTAGTTAATTGGAGATAAGAGCCTTATGAACTTTCCTTCCCTGGGATGGTTTTGAACCAAGATCCTCAGATCTCAGCATCCTGAGTAGCTAGGATTACAGGCTTGAGCCACTGGTGCCTGGCCACTGGTGGTTTTCTATCAGACCCCACCATACTTGGTCCTGGTAACTTCAACTGAATAGCCTTAGGTTTGGCATATGGAGCAGTTCCGGATAAGCCTGTCTAGTACCAAGCTACCAAATACTTGGCCCTCATGTAGATAGTCCATTCCCTCCAAACTCATAACAGTATGAATAATTGATCACAGCCATTTATTGCTAGACCTTTCTCAGCACCAGGGCTGGTAGTCATTACCAGGTGTTTAGAATTTGCCCAAGAGAAGAAACCCTTTGTCATTCCTAGTCAAACCCCCTTTTTTAATGAAGTCTTTTTTCCCCTTAGTTTAACACAACTCAGTTTTTCAGCTGTCTCTTGTTGCCAGAGCATCTCTAGCCTAGATATACCACACAGTTTGGAGGAATTGATCCTTTTAAAATGTGATTTCCCAGAAATGAGTACCTTCTCCAAAGATTTTATTAGTGAAGAGGACATGGACATTTTTCCAACTTCTCTTGGACATAGTTTTTCTCTTAATATAGGCTAGGTTGTTTTAGCTCTTCTTCACCAATAATGTACTTACAGTAAATTAAAATTTGGGCATTTATTTAGATAAATTGCTCTTAAACTAGTCTTTACTCCTGCTATTGTTGTGAAGTTGATTTTTTTTTGGTCAGTCCTGGGCCTTGAACTCAGGTCCTGGGCTCTGTCCCTGAACTTTTTTGCTCAAGGCTAGTCCTATACCACTTTGAGTCACAGCTGTACTTCCAGTTTTTAGGTAGTTAAGTGGAAATAAGAATCTCACATACTTTCCTGCCCAGGCTGGCTTCAAACCATGATCCTCAGATCTCTGCCTCCTGAGTAGCATGAGCCACCAGCACCTGGCTCTGTTGATTGTTTTCAAACTCAAGCACAGGACTCATTTTGTTTCATTCTATTAAGTTATGTCTTATTAACCCACCTCACTATCCTAGCCATAGAGATTTTACCCAGTCCTAACTTTTTCATTAGCATTATCTTTGAATGTGGTAAATTGTCTTCATCCAAGTTACTGATTCAATTCTAGGTGTGGTAGGTAGCACACGCCTTTAATTCAAGAACTGCAGACCAGCCTGGGCTGCCTAGCATGAACCTGTCTCAAAAAAAACACATAAGCAAAGCTGAGATGGACTAGGTTAAGGTCAGTTTCAAAGCCTCCCCAGAGATGCTGGGCTATAAATTTACCACATAGAACACACATTGGTTTTTGAGTATTGACACTCACGTCAGCTGTAGGTCATCCTTATTCTGCAAATAACAAGTGCCCAGTATGCTCTTGGCACTGTTGTGACTCGGAGAATACCACAGTAAACAGATAAACAGTGTGACTGCTCTCAGAGTACCATTCTAGCAAGACCATGTATCCATCTCCCAGGCTACAGGACTTCAGTTTGTTCTTAGGTAGATAACCAAATCACAGATAGTAATTTGCTGACTACCTACTATATTTCCCTTCCAAAATAGAAGAGGTTTGGTCTGGCTTGTTCTCAGCATAAGTAAAGTATGAATAAACAATGACCTATTCCATTTTTGTTGTTGTTGGTCATGGGGCTTGCACTAAGCCCTGGATGCTGTCCCTCAGCTCAAGGCTATCACTCTACACTTGAGCCACAGCGCCACTTCAGGTTTTCTGGTGGTTCATTGGAGATAAGAGACTCATGGACTTTCCTGCCTGGGCTGGCTTTGAATCTCTTTCCTCAAATCTCAGACTCCTGAGTAGCTAGGATTGCAGGCGTGAGACACTGGTGCTGGGTGACCTATTCCATTTTTTAAAAAATAATTTATATTAAATAAGTTTATCTATAGTAAAACTTCCTGGTGTTATATCTGACCCCAAACAGTCATTTACTACATTTTCCTGTTTCTGAAAATTAAAAATAACATCTGCCTATCTCTTTAAGGATATGGCACTTTTCTGTGCCTAAATTACATTTGTTAATCCAACCTTTATAGTTTGCCAGAACCTGCAGGCTTGAATTCATTGAAATGCCTAGATACTTTTAAATATACTTGTTTTGAAGTGTACACTCTGCCTAACCTGATTTCTTCCAGGTCTGCTGTTTGAAAGTCATTCTTCAGAGAAAGCGGAAGTGAACCAGATCCTACATCCTGCTTGAAGCAGTTGACCTTCTCCCCTCCTTTTCCTGATCATCACCTAAAAAGGAATTTGTTTTCTTTACCATACTTACACACATTACACCTATAGGCTTTGCTCTTCTCATGCTAGATTGCAGGTCCCTGTTTGTGTTTGTGACTAGTTGGTGGCCTACTTCCTGCATTGTTTATTTCTTCATGTTTAAGACAGAAAGCTCCTCAATCTCACTAAGTTGATTTTCGTTTTCTCCCTCTCAAAAGGAGTCCAAGTCACCCTAGTGACACCGTGGGACAGTGAGGGACAGCTGCTGTTTTCACAAGTGACAGTCCTGCCACCCTGCCACCAAGTTGGCTCCCTTGCCACTGCAGTAATTTCTTCACAGGTACCTTAACAAACTCCCGCAGCTTGTCACAGGCATGCTGTGAACCACCCGAGCACAGGCTTCCTCATCAGTCCTCAAGATCCACTCCTGTATCCTCTGAGCATTGGAGCATTCTGAAGGTTCTTTCCAGTAGTAGAGCAACTTAATGCTGAAATGCTACTCCTCATACCTGCCTGCCAGTAGCGCATACAGTTCACACTGCAGCGCTCTCTCTGCAGTTCCTGCTGCAAACATTAAACGGGTGAGGTATTGGGACTGGTGCTGGGAAATACCACAGCCCTGTTCTTTTCCACACTGTCATCCTCATATTGCTGCAGCTCTTTTCTAATTGGCACATCATGGCCAAAGTGCATTAGACTCATAACCTGGAGGAGAATTCCCTTTGGGCCATCTCTGCATAGAATGTGCCTCCTTCCCCATGTGCTGACACTGCCTTAGCCTTTCCTTCCTTTATGCTCCTACCCATGTGTTTTCAGCTTAGACATATGTGTCAGTTTGCTACTTCTGCCATAACAAATTGCTGCATGTGGCTTGTTACAACCCGAATTTTTTATCATAGAGTTCTATAGAAGGAAGTCTCACATGTCTTGCTGGACTAAAATCAAGCTATCATCAGGGCTGTGTGCCTTTCAGAAGCCCTGGAGAGAATCTGTTTACTTATCTTTTCCAGCTTCAAGAGGCCACCTTCACATCCCTTCACTATGTCCCCTTCATTTATTTTCACAGCCATTGATCTTGCATCTTTGTGACTATTCCCTGTAAGCCACACTTCTCCCTGACTTTCCTCTGTTGCTTCTTCCTTCCATGTTGTGTTTTCTTTGAGACAGGGATTCCCTCGATAGTCTATGTTGGCTTCCAACTTAGGGTTTCTCTCAGTCACCTGAGTTCTGGGATTACAGACATGAACCAACATGCCTAGCTCTTTCCTTCCAGTTTTAGTGTTATCTGTGACCACACTTGACTCACTGAGGTGACCCAGGGTATTCTTTCTACCATGAGCTGATGAGCAGCTTTACTTCCATGTGCAACCTTAATTCTCCTCTGCCGGGAATCCTACCATATGTACAGGTTCCAGGTATTAGCATGTGGACATCTCAAGAGAGGGGCATTATTTATTCAGCAGGGAGTCATTTAATTATTTATTACTAATTAAATTTATTATTCAAGTAACTATTTACTTAGTTTGGAATCACTGATTTAGAGCTGTGCTGTCCTGTGTGTATTGTAGCCACTGGCAACGTGTAGTCATGTAGGTTTAAGTCAGTTAGAGTAAAAAACCAGTCTACAGTCACAGTAATCACATTTCAAGTGCTCAGTGGCCCCATATTGTACAGTGTGGGTACGGCACATTTTCATGCTTGCAGAAAGTTCATATGGTAGACAGCAAAGGCATGCATCATCTTTGCCCAAGGCCCAGGGTGTGGGAAGCCTACAAACAACTACGAAATGATTACAGGCATTCCCTTCCAGAGATAGTAGAGTTCTTTTCTCCTAGGATTTTCACTTCTTCCATTTCACCTGTCAGGTTTGTTCTCACAGAATAAATGGAGAGTGGTAGCCCTTCCTGCTTCTTCAGCTGTTTACAAAATCAAGTTTTTGGCAACTCTAGTCAAGGACAGACTGTCTATAAAGAAAGCTCTGTGTCATTTTCCCAGCAGGGTGATTTGTAACAGAACCCCTATGTGTCTGTCTTTCATTTCCCTTTTATTCTATCTTCACAGTTTTCTCTCATTTGTGGATTCCATAAATGGACAAGTATGGGGGTGGCACATGGGTTATTTTCCTTATATGCATATATTTCCTGTTGCTGCTTGTTTGTGCTGAAGAAAGCCTTTCCCTTGGCAAACACCAGCCCTGAACCTATTCCAGCAAGAATTCATGATTCATGATATCATTGTTTGCTTGGTTCAAATTTCAACTTCCCTTTCCTACTCTCATCACTTTTCTCTGGAGGATTGTTGCCAATTTTCCTAGTTTTGCATAGCTTTTTTGTCATTCTTGGTTGCCTTTGTGATTCAATTTCACTATTTGGATCTTCCCTTCTTCCTCCTTCACTCCATCTGCCTCTCCACCCCTTCCTTTCCTTTCCTTTCTGTTCTCTTGGTCTTTATTTTCTTTTTTCTGCCTATACTTGGGTTTGATCTCCAGGCCTCTCACTCTTTTGGCTTTTTTGCTAATAGCTAGGGGTCTACCTCTTGAGTCATGCATCCCATTGCTGGCTTTTTGAAAGTTTACTGACTTGTCTTACAGATTGATCTGCTGGGGCTATCTCTGAACCTCAATCCTCAGATCTCAGCCTCCTCAGTAGCAAGGATTATAGATGTGAACCACTGGTGTCTGACTTCTTTTCTTATACTTTATATTTATCTTTCCCCTTAAATGGGCAAACTTTTATCAGTCATATGACTTGAACTCAGGGCCTGGGCACTGTCCCTAAGCTCTTTTGCACAAGGCTAGCACTCTACCACTCTGAGCTACAGCTCTACTTCTGATTTCCTGGTGGTTATTGGAGGTAAGTCTCACAGACTTTCCTTCCCAGGCTGGCTTTGAAGCATGATCCTAAGATCTCAGCCTTCTGAGTAGCTAGGAGTCCAGGCATGAAACACCAGCACCCAACTCAGGCAAATTTTTTCATAAAGAACAAAATAGTAATATTTTTTGGCTTTGTAGGCCAAATGGTTTCTATTTTAACTACTCAGCTCTGCCACTAAAGAGTGAGAGGAGTCGTAGTAGTAAGAGGCTGCAAGTACAGTGTATGGGCTTCTTCCCCAAATAACATATTAAATGCTCTTTCATCATATCAAAACAGTCTCCCCTCCCATCTACCTTTTCTTCCACAGTCACAACCTCTTCTACTTCAAGATACAAGTGCCTGCTGTGCCTGATTTCTTTTATAAAATGTTTCATTCATTCAGAAACCTATTTCAGGTTTCTTCAAATTTTATTGCATTTTCTGTGTGAGTCAGCAGGAAGCCCAGTGAGGTTTCTTCAGTTCTGGACTGCAATTGCCTCTGATTTCTAGGATCACTGGTCATTTCCAATTAACGACATTTCTACTCTACCTTGCCTAGTTAACAGTCACATCCTAACATGCATTTATTCTTTCGTTTTAGTCTAGATTAGCACTTACTGTGAGCCACATACGTGCATTAGATTGTATAATAATCTTCCTAATACATCCTAAAGTAGCTACAGTGCTGTCTCTATTGTGCAGAAGGAGAAGTGGACATGAGAGATTAAGGACTGCTGGTGGTCACATTACTAGTAAGATTTGAAGGCTCCTTTGCTAAAAATAAAAATGTAAATCTGTCCATCCCCCTACTGAACCCTCATCCATCTGTCCACCCATCTGCCAATTCAGTTTTGGACAATACATGTTGAAAGCCATGGAGTCACTGCTTTTTTCCTACTTTCTTTAGTCAACCTATCAGTTCCATGGCCCTTCAGTTGTTGTTCTATTTGGATTATTTCTTTTTATGTGTGTGCAGGTCGTGGAGCTTGAACTCAAGGCCAAGTACAGTCCAAATTAAGTTTAACTTACTCTATTAAACACATGGGGTTTAATGTTGAGCTGAATATTCCAAACTTGGCGATCATGAGATCATATTGTCTTTATGATTTCATGCTGGAGGTATTCCAATTTCCCTCTGACAACAGAGTATTTATTATACTTACTTTGTATAGTCCAAAAGTCATATCTATAAGAGTATACTGGAAAGCCTGCCAAGCTCATGAAGATAGCAAGAAGATACCGATTTGGTATCTTCTTCAATGGTGCCAACTTTAAGAAAAAAAAATTCTAAATTTGCTATCAATAATTTTTGGATCTCAATATTGAGTGCTAAAAAATGTGTGTTATTTTTCATTTAATTAGGAACCACATATTGAAGAGAATGTCTGGAAGCTTCTACTTTGTAATTGTTGGCCATCATGACAATCCAGTTTTTGAAATGGAATTCTTGCCAGCTGGGAAAGCAGAATCCAAAGTGCGTATGAAACCTTAGATGCCATAAGAATTTTTATGCTGTTGTAATGATACAGTAGAAAAGATTTTACAACTGGAAAGGTTCTAGACTGATGAGACAGTTGAAGCCCACTCCAGTTAAATGCTCTGTCGATTCCCGTAGACTGAGAGAAGCTAGCCAGGGAATGTCTTTGGAGTCGATTATTCAACCTTAATTCAGCACAGTGTAGCAGAGACTAACTGGCATGGTTGTCAAGTGTCTCTTTCCCATGATACTCAGTTGATTGTGTCACACACCATGAAATACTGCTTCTTAAGTGTGTGGAGAAACAGTCCATCTATAATGGGCCTAGAAGAGCCATCATTACTACCTTGAAATACCTCTAAGTCTATTTGTTTCATTAAATCAGATTTTTCACCAAGATAGACATAGATCATTTTGTATATGAAAGGATTAAAAGAGACCAACCCCTACTCCTCATTGTGCTGGCCCTGGGCCAGTAGCACCTTTTTTCAGTGGTTTCTGCCGTGCTGCTGTAATCCTAGCTACCCAGGAGGCAGAGACCTGAGGATCATTGTTCAAAGCCAGCCTGGGCTGCAAAGTATAGAAAACCTTGAAAGAACTACCAGAGGTGATGACCCCTCCTCTTTCCCCTCCCTCCCAATTTTCTTATCATCTAGCATGGTTCCAGAGAAATGGCTTGGTCCATACCATTGAGAGCAAACTGTCAACAATTCTTGAGAACAACCCAGTCCTTTCCCTCTTTTTGTGCTATGTTTCTAATAATTTGCTGGCAAGTATGGTCTGTTTCCTCCAACTTCCACAAGTAGGCTTTAATATCCTTTAACATAAGGAGTTGTTTATTTAAATCAACCTAAATATACAATTTAAAGTGAAAGACGTTTTACAACCATTTCAGTCTTGCCACATAAATACAGTAGAGAGAGAGAGAGAAAGAGTGTGTGTGTGTGTGTGTGTGTGTGTGTGTGTGTATGTATGTGTGTGTTCCCTGGTACTAAGGCCTAACTCAGGCCCTTGTGCTTTCGCTTAATGGTTTGTTCATGCTGTACCACTTGAACCATGCTTCCAGTCTTGCATTTTATTGGTTAACTGGAGATACATGCTTATGAAAGCACTCTACTAAAACCTTTGGTTTTGCTCGACATCAGTGGCTCACGCCTGTAATCCTAATTACTCATGAGGCTGAGATCTAAGGATTGTGGTTCAAAGCCTGCCCAGCAGGAAATCCATGAGACTCTTATCTCCAAATAACTACCAGAAAGCAAGAAAATGGATCTGTTGCTCAAGTGTAGAGCACCAGTGTTGAGCCAAAAGCTCAAGGACAGCTCCCAGGCTCTGAGTTCAAACTCCAGGATGGTAATCAAAAGAAAAAAAAAAACACAAAACAAAATAACAACTTTGTTTTGAAGTATCTCTGTAGCAACAGTTGCTTTGAGGGCATTGCTATTAAGTCAGTTTCTGTGCACCCCAGAGGAATTGTAGCAAAAACAGCACATAGAAAAGTGATCACTTGGTCTGAGTTCTTTTTCTTGCTACCTACCACTCACCTTCTTAAAGCATTTCTACAGTCTCTTAAAGGTGATCACTCCTGTAAAGTCATAGAAAACACTGCTGTGAGCTGGAAACAAAGTACATCCATTTCTTTAAGGATTTAGTTAGCTTTGTCATGGTAACATAAATGAAGTAAACATACTTTAGCTGTGTAAGGGAGTCCAGAGCAACTGGCAGCTTTCCCCTAGCCCAGTCATGGGACCAATCTCCTCAGCAAGAACAATGTATCAGTTTCCTATGGCTATTGTAACAAAGTACTAAACCTGACTAGTGTGGAACAACAGAATGTATTGTCTTTAGGGGGCAGATGTTTGAAATCAGTGTAGGCAGGCTAGGCTTCAACTGAAGGTAGTATCTGGGATTGTGGCACCAAAATCCCTGCCCACTCCCCCCCCTTCCCCTAGCCTCATACTTACTAGTCAGGCAGTCTGCCATTTGAACAATATCTTCAGCTCTTTTTGATTTCAGTATTTTTTGTATAGGGTCTCACTTTTTGTACTGACTGGACTGCCATTGCCTTACTTAAGCCTATTTTTAATCCATGTCTTACTGTTATTATAAAGGTGATATACCAGAAGGGTTACGGTTATATAAATCAGATAAAGAATATATTTCTTTTTGATGACTGTCACCTCCCTCATTCTCTCCCAGTTTTTCCCTCCTGCCCCCACCCACAAGTTGTATAGTTCATTTTCAACATCGTGTCTACTGAGTACCATTAATGCATTTGTTCACCCTTTGTCCCTCTATTTCTATGTCCCCCCCACCCTCCCAAAGATAGATAAATGAACAAACAAAAGGAAAAGAAAACACAAGCAGCAACAAAGAAAAAAACTCTTGTTTTTATTTCCTGGAGTTCATTTTGATAATTATTAATTTATATTTTCAGATGTACATAGGTATTGTGCCTTTGTGTTCCTCTCCTAAGAATATCCTCCTTTGTTTGTGAATACCTAGAGTCCTGTGTAATTTGTCATGCCCTAGTGTATTTTCTCTTTAACCATCCAGTGTGTTTACTTGTAGATTTTTTTTGGGGGGGGTCCGGTCGTGGCCCTGAACTCTGGGCCTGGGTGCTGTCCCTCAGCTCTTCAGCTCAAGGCTAGTGCTCTACCACTTGAGCCACAGCACCACTTCCAGCTTTTTTTTCTGCTTATGTGGTGCTGAGGAATCGAACCCAGGGACTCATGCATGCAAAGCAAGCACTCTACCACTGAGCCACCTTCCCAGCCCTACTTGTAGATTTATAGGCACCCTCTAGCTATCACAAATGAGGGAAACCATGCAACCTATGTTTCTCTGGATCTGGTTTACTTTGTATTTAAGCTTCTTGCATAGCTAGGATGACACCTTTTCACTGCTTGACATGGAGTTTCATGAAGTATTTTTGCTCAGTCCTCAAACTGAAATCCTCCCGCCTTCCACTTCCAGAGTATCTAAGGTTACTGGCATGAATCACTATACCTGACTTAAATCTCCCATTTTTATAGGGATACCAGTTATTGGAATAGAGCCCTACCCTATGCCAGTATGACGTCATCTTAACCTTATGTGCAGTGACCCTTTTTTTCCCACTAAGGCTGCCTTCAGAGGTGCTGGGATTTAGGATTTCAGCGTATGAATTTTGAGGAGGACGTTATTCAGTCCTAATAGGTATTCTTTGAAATTTCCTTTCTTTTTTCCTTTTTTTTTTTGGATGTTATTACTGGGGCTTGAACTCAGGACCTCACACTCTGGCTCAGCTTTTTCAATCATAGTTGCTGCTCTACCATCTGAGCCACAACTCCAGTTCTGGCTTTTTGCCTTCTAATTAGAAATAAGAGTCTATGGTTTTTCTGCCCAGGCTGGCTTTGAACCACTGGTTATCCCAAATGACTGCCCGTAGCTGAAGCTGAGTTGAGTCTGGTGGCCTCCCATGATTCCCACATCTTTATGTCATATAAGTCCTGTGCACCTGAAGGAGGCCTCTTTGTGAGGTGGGTTCCAGCCTACCTTTCTGCTGCTGCTGCCCAGGAAGCTCCTCAATAAACTATGAGACTCATAAAGTCTGGATCTACCTTTCCCCCCTAAGTATAGTATTTTTTTCCACATGTATAACTGGCTAGTAAACTTCCTTGGAACACACAAAAACCTAATTTTCAGTGTAGTTTTTTTAACCTAGTACTTGGAATTGAATTCAGAGCCTCAAACTCTAGTTTTTTGAACATATTAATTCACTTTCTGTTCTTTATAGTTTTAGATATCAATTTAAACTATGAAAACCATAAAGCTTTTGTGTCTCCTGATAAAGTGTTTTATCTCACTAGGAAATCATATATAAAGTTTATAGAATGTGTTGTAATCCTGAGGTGATCTGGAAATGTCTCTTGCTGTCCTCTGTCATTCAGGATGATCATCGCCATCTGAACCAGTTCATAGCTCACGCGGCTCTTGACCTTGTGGATGAAAACATGTGGCTTTCAAACAACATGTATTTGAAAACCGTGGACAAATTCAATGAGTGGTTTGTGTCAGCATTCGTCACTGCAGGACATATCCTTCCTTTACTAGGAAATATATTTAATTAAAGGTTGGGTTTACAAACTATAAGAGCATGGAACAGGGCTGGGATGTAGCTCAGTGGCAAAGTGCAACATCCTGGGTTTGATCCTCAGCACCAAAAAGGACAAAAAAAAGGAGGAGGGGGGGGGAAGAGGAAGAGGAGGCAGAAGAGGAAGGGACATAGAGGCCAGAAGAAGGAAGAGGAGGGGGAAAGAGGAGGAGGAATGGGGGAGTGGAGACATAGAAGCTAGATTCTGAACTTGGAGACTTTAAAGACTCAGATCAAAATGAGAACTTCCTCTTGGGGGTTACTTCTATTAGAGAAAAAATAATTTTTATTGTATTTAATATAATTTCAATTTTCAAACTAAGTCTCATATAAAATGAACGTTTATCTGAATGATACTAAGGGTGAGTTTTCTTTTTTTTTTTTTTT